CAGGCCTATTCCTCGAAAAACAGAAAAGTCCCAGAGTACGTGTAATTAGTGGCCGAAGCTAAATATGCTGAAAAACATTGAATTAGTTGTTTTTCGGTTATTATAGGCTATCATCAACATCGAGCATTTCTACCAAAGATGAATCGTGCAAATTATCTTGGACGTTCGAACGATCGAATTTTTCACGCCTCTGAGCATCTACGCCCAGACACTCAACTACATAAACATTGATCTGCTGCATCGAGTAACTTTGCAGCATTGTGCAAAAGTCCGGATATTCGTTATTAGCAAGTCGAGAAATCGAAAGTACATACAGGAGTCCAGCGGCGCAGATAAATCCGCCGTACACAATCGGCAAACGATTATTCCTCGATTAGAGTCTCAATTTACGCGCGCGTCGATCGTCGATTACGAATTCTGTATACATTACCTAGTAGTATCTCCTTGTATAATAATATTAACGGCTCCATTCAGCAAAACAGTAAACTCGCGGCCGATTCATCCCGATGCACTCTCCCCGTAGTGCACGCAGACACAAGAGAGAGAGAGAGAGATGCCTTGTTAAGCCTTCTATATACTCGCGAAAGCGAATCGCGCGCATCAGCATCATCATCATCAAGCATGATTGTTATTATGCCATTTCTCTACCCGAGCTACTACTAGTCGGCGCGCCGCGAGTACATCGCGTTTCCGTTATATAAACGCCGCATATCGTGCGCGCGCACGAACGTTGCAAGGCGCAGAGCTGCCAGAGTAGAACGAGGAGCTATAGCATGCATTTAAGCTTATGGTCGAGATCGTGTATATTATAGCGTAGGCAAATTTCATTTATTTGCCTGGTGTTTAGTGCACGTGGCGCCCCGTGAGCTGAATACAGCGTAAACAACAACAACAGCAACGGAAAAAAAGACGTATACAATATGACAATTGCCGAGCGCGACAAGCCGACCGTGTTTACCGAAAACGAGTCTGTAATTTATGCCGAATGAATAATTCGAAATGCGCGCCGCGGTTTCGAGCGCCAAGAAAGTTTTATGATTTGCAGCTTGGAATATGTTATCAAATTTATCCGTATAAGTTAGCAAGTGATAGATTTAGGTGATGAATTTAGGACGATAAGCTCGTTATTTCAGTGGTAATCGTTGCTTTTGTCCAACGAAAGATCGGCTGCCTTTTCAGGCTTTATACTTTTTAAACCGCGCGATTATGATTATGCCACTGCGAGGCGATTACGCGCGTTTCTTTGCATCCTTTAAACGGAAAAATGATACGGATCGTTTTTGTGCCTTTTTTTTGTGTGTGCCTGTGCGAATGGGAGTTTTTTCTTGCGCATCGAGACTGCGAACTGACTTAAACTAGTAAATTAAAGTATTAGCTTGGTATGCGGACAATGTGGTAGCTTTGAAAGTTCAGAAATCATGAGAGAATCAGAAATGTGTGTGTGTATGCAGTACGTATATATAATAATTCCTCGTAGCTTTATGAGGAGCAATTGAGTAAGCAACTTTTCCAGATCATTAGAAGATTGTGTGCTGCTGCTGCTCTGCATTATGCGCTTACTCCACTTGAAGCGCAGTGTAATATATAATATACACGCACGTAAGGCCAGGGCAAAAAGTGGAATGGCATTTACGGCAAAATTCACTGGCTGAAAATTATAAGGTCATCGCCTCGCTCTTGCCTTAAAAGTCAAGACCCGTTGAGCTTGTAAATATATAGGATATGGTCGATTTGCATTGGGCTCTCGCGCGTCGCGAGCTCTGTACGCGCAAAAATTACCATAATATTGTCATCTCTTTTCACCACCGCGTCGTGGCAGCCGCGAAACGACGACACTTTCGACCTGAAACAACAGGTGCTAATAACATATACCTTTTTTTTAGTTGCAAAATAACGTAAATATGTAACCGTAATCGGCACTAGGAGGATTCTTAGCCGAAAGATTCCACTTCAACGACTCGTGGACTACGAACTACGAACGAGACGAGTGTAGGTATTTATTTGTTTATTTTTTGTAACGCAGCAATTTTATCTTGTAAGCGCGACGAGAGCTTGCAAAGATAGCAACGGGTGGCATGAAAAATATTTACCGATATCTGGGATATAGGTATGCTGGTATGAGTAACCGTTTACCGGTTTTCCAGAGATCGGTAACGAAGAGCGCTCAGGTGTCAGCAACGGGATCGAAAAAGAAATTCTACTAAAGGTAAATCGTCGGCTCATAGTGTAGAAAGTTATCATCTTAGACTCAAGGCCAAAACGTTTCCTATTATTAATTTTATCCGTAATAAGATTTAGGTGCAACTAAGACAACCTTTCTTTTTTAATTATATCGATACTGCTCACTCGTCGCTACAGCGAAGCTCTTGCCATCGTTCGCGCTCGACACCCTAACCCGTACTACTCTTCGTCAGTGACACTTATCTTCACGTCTTCGCAGTTCGCAATGGCCGCTAGAGGAATCTCAAAAGACATAGTTGTCAACTCGCCAGAAGGAACGTTTCTCTGCCAGTTTTGTAGGCGAGACCAACACGACTTCGACGGGCTAATGGACCATTTCAATGGCACGAAACCAAATCTCAAACTTATACAATTATCTTAACTCTGCTACTTGCAGTTTTGCAGATAAATTTACTCGCCATCTAGTGGTGGTGGCTAGTATTATTGTATTGAAGTGATGGAAAACTGGTGTAAATATTTGAAACAATAAAAATTGTCATTTCTAGGTAATTTCAAACGCGTTTTATAATGTTAACAAAGTTGCAATAAAAAAATTGTCCAAAATTAGCTAATTAATGGTCATGTTTTTTAAAAATTGTCAACTTGTAATTTTTTTTATCATATACATGTGGAGAATTTCTACCAGGGTTCAATTTTTTATTTACAAACATTTTTTCTTTAACTATTGCTCTTTTATGAAAAATGATAATATTTTTAAAACTCAACAATACATTGCAAGTATAACAATCGTTCAGTAACAATTGTATGGTGGAATATTGAAATTATACGATCAATGACTCATCATTTGAGTGCGAACAATTGCATGAAAACAAGAGAGCACCTAAACTGAGTAAATTTAAAAAAATTTAATAGCTTATCAATGAAGGATAATTGTGGATCTGCAATCAGATCATTAAACGGCTAATGAATGTAGATTTGTGTCGTGTGAGCATCGCAGCTGCAGGCCAAAGCTCGCGACGGCTCGTTGCTGTTTGGTAAAAGTAAGGAGAAAATAACAAATGATAAGGAAAGGTTGCAGCAAAACTCCTATGTACAAGTGAATGAAAAAAAATCTGCCAAAGATTTGTGCTCTGAATCATATGTCATTTTATTATATAATCATGTAAAAATTTGTTCAAGTTCGACCCCGATAGGTGGCACCCGCTCAAAGGGTCGCTCTCGCAGGTGGGGCAACAGAGTTTCCCGCATATAAGCCACTTCGATGCCACAACATACAAATTCCATTTAAAAGGCTTCTTTATTTAATCAGTACCATGACATTTCTTCATATGGTCTTTAAGATGACCGTTTTGTGTAAATTTCCTTGCGCATAGTTTACATTTAAATCTTACACCATTATGTATTGTATCCACATGCCTATTGAGATCACCCATTCGACCGTATGTATTACCACATACCTTGCACACAAGCTTGATGACTTTTTTGTTGTAAATATCAAGTGCTTGTGTAGCAGGATCATTATGCGCAATAATATGGACCATGAGATCATTCTTTCGACTAAATTTTACCGGTGTTGAAAAAATACACATAGAAAACTATTCCCCAACCAAAGTATTTTACGAAAATGGTTATATAATATTATATTAATTCTGTCACTTGCGGATATGCAGATAAAGGTACTCGCCATCTAGTGGTGGGGGCTAGTAATATTGTATTGAAGTGATTGAAAACTGGTTTAAATTTTTTGAAACAATGAAACTGTCCTTTTTAGGTTATTTCAAATGCTTTTCATAATTTTATCATAATTGCAATAAAAAAATTGTCTAAACTCAGCTAATTATTGGTTGTGTATTAATTTTGAGAATTTATACCAGGGTACATTTTTTTATTTATAAACCATTTTTTTAAACTATTGCTCTGTTATTAAAAATAATGTTTTTAAACTGTAACAACACTTTCCAGGTATAATAAGCGAACAGTAAAAATTGTTTCGTGAAATATTGAAATCATACGATCAATGACTCATCATTTGAGTGCGAACTATTGCACGAAAACAATAGAGTACCTTAACTGAGTAAATTTAAAAAAATTTAATAGTTTATCGATAAAGGATAATTGTAGCGCTACGAGCAGATCAATTATCGGCTAATGAACCCAGATTCATGTCGTGTATGCATTGCAGCTGCAGGCTAAAGTTCGCGACGGCTCGATGCGGTTTGGTAAAAGTAAGGAGCAAATAACAAATGATCAGGAAAGCAGCAAGACTTGTACATACGAGTGAATGAAAAAAATTTGCCAAAGATATGTACTCCGAATCTTATGCGATTTTATTATATAATCATGTAATAATATGTTTAAGTTCGACTCCGATATGTCCTAGTTGAAAAAATTGCATCGATTTCTACGTGGATTATCCACACAGATTCCGCGTGGAAAGTACGTGGATTCTACAAGGAAAGCGCATTGATTCCATGTGGAATCCAAGTACTTTCCACACGGAATCTGCGTGGATAATCCACGAAGAAATCCACGCAATTTTTTTCAACTGGGGTGGCACAAATGTAGTTCTCGGGGTAGGGAACAAAGGTGAAGACATAGACGGTGCGTGTTCTATTATGTGTGGTTTTATTGCCTATCTCTTACAGACTAACTTAGAACTAAATAACAAAGCTGATCGAACTTTAATTGTCCCCCCTCGCCGCAGATGAGGCGCCACACAAACTCGACGGGTCACTCTCGCAGGTGGGGCAACAGAGTTTCCCACATATAAGCCACTTCGATGCCACAACATACAAATTCCATTTAAAAGGCTTTTTTATTTAATTAGGACCATGACATTTCTTCATATGGTCTTTAAGATGACCGTTTTGTGTAAATTCTCTTCCGCATACTGTACATTCGAATCTTTTATTATTGTGTATCGTATCAACATGCCTATTCAGAACACCCATCCGACTGAATTTTTTATTGCATATCTCGCATATGAACCTGTTGGCATTATTTCTTGAAATTTGGCAAATATCAAGTTCTCGCTCAACAGGATTATGATGCCTCTGAATGTGGTCTTGAAGATGACTTTTTTGTGTAAATTTCCTCTTACATATATCGCATTCAAATGTTATATCATTATGCTTCGCATTGACATGTCTATTAAGGTCACCCATTCGACCGTATCCATTTCCACATATTTTGCACACAAGCTTGGTGACTTTTTTCGAATAAATGTCACGTGCAGGATCATTATGCGATATGATATGGGCTTCGAATTGATACTTTCGTAAGAAACATTTTCCGCATTTATCGCATTTGTGCTTGACACCTTTATGCACTTCATGTGTCTCTTGGATGTGCCTATTGAGAGTGCTTTTTGAAGAGAATATTTTTCCGCATATTTCACACATATGCGTGACACTGTTATCGTTCTCATTGTTGCCAGATTTAAGTGTATTGATACAGATTGAGTATTTAGCAATGCTTGTTTTATTTGTCTGATTGAGTTGACTATCTAAAATAGCAGTCGAATCAATTTCTTTGGTATTAACAAATTGATTTTTTACCGACTCTATCGGCTCTAATTTGATCGCATTTTGCAAGTAATTTGTAGAATAATTGTCAGTTTGTTCGATTTTCAATAAATTTAAGTCGGGTTTTACGTCTTTACATTCGATTTCCACTTCCAGTCCGTCGTTCTCTTCAGTTTCTTGATTATAATCACTGAAGTTTCTAAGAGAACGTTCCCGCGAATAAGTATCCAGCGAAAATTTGGGAAATTGAGCATTTTCCACGTTGGATGTCTCGTCGATTATTTCACCATCGTTATTTTCAGTAGTCAATTTATCAATGGGCTCTTCTTTCACTCTGAAAGATATTTAATGAAATGAAATGTTATGTTGAAATATTTTCATTCTTTACTATTCATAAAATAAATATTACCTTGGAGTAAAAGATCTATTACTTTGTTGAGCTTGGATTTCATGGTGATCCATAATACTATGAAGTATTGCAGAAGTTGATTTACGATCCATGATAACTTCCAAACGTTGAGATGAGCGAGAGAAAAAAATGCTTGAAAACGAGAAAAAAAATTATTACACAAATAAGAAGGAGTTCACTAAAAAAGCTGTATCTCTGTAATAAATATATTTTTTCAACTAAAAAGTTTTAAAATTTATCAAAAGATACAGAAAATTTGTTTAAAACTGATTCATTCACAGCTTAACTTAAAAGGTCTATTTTTGTTTAAAAATGTTTTTCGGCTATACAACTTCCCAGGTGAAAATAGTATGTCAGATCTGACTCCAGATCTGGCATCAGATCTGGTATAAGATCTGATAAATGTACGCCAGATCTGATACCAGATCTTGTATTCGATAATCGACATCAGAACTTATATCAGATCTGACATCAGATCTGATGTCAGATCTGAAGTGACTGTATTGCCTTTAATTAATTAAACAATAACTTTATTAATAATTAAAACTTTATAACAAATTTAGTTATATTTTAATAATCACATCGATAATACCTTTAAGAAAAATTCCTACAATATTTAGGTTTCTGATAATGTAAATTTAAATTGATTCAACAACTTTTATTATTAAGATTTATTATAAAATTTTAATTATTAATAAACTTATTGTTTAAATAATTGAAGGCATTACAGTCACTTCAGATCTGACATTAGATCTGATGTCAGATCTGATATAAGTTCTGATGTCGATTATCGAATACAAGATCTGGTATCAGATCTGATGTCAGATCTGGTGTATATTTGTCGGATCTTATACCAGATCTGATGCCAGATCTGGAGTCAGATCTTACATACTATTTTCACCTGGGAATTGACATCACGTCGAGAAAAAATTAAAAAAGTTTCAGAATATGAATTTTGGTACAAAAAAAAGTTTTTCTATACTTTTTAAGGCCCTATATTGTTCTAAAAAAATTTTTTTAGTTGAAAAAATAAAACATTTTTCCGCCTTTAAAACGCAGGCAATTCGAAAAGATCTGAAAAAAATTAATTTTTTGCAATTCAATGCAATACAAATGAGGAAAAATTTTGAGTTTGAAAACAGCTCATATCGCCTCTAATGAATTTTCAATAATTTTGAATGATTTTTTCTAAAGCCCTGGGCATTTAAAAATCTGAGAAAATTTAAGATTATTTGATTTTTTGAAATATATTTTCATGAATTTTTTCAGATTTTTTAAGTTAATAACGTCTTCACAATCGGTAAAAATAGAAAAAAAACGTTCATACGGTATATGTAGGATAAGGAATATTTGGGAAAAGTTGAGTCCTAAAAGCAACATGAAGATACATAAAAATTTTTTCTATTATTTTGCTAAAATAGTAATTAACAATTGATTTTTTAATGAAAGATAACAATTAATTACCAACTGGATCGATTGGAATTAAATTAAATAATTTTGATTGTTAATTTAAAATTCATTAAAAAATAGAAATTAATTGACTCTATTTCAACTGATAAAAAATTATTCTTACTTATTATTCATGAATTTTTATAGTTAAATTTTTTATTTTGCTCGTTCAAATATTAATCAAAATTATTTACTTTAATTAAAATAATTTATCAATTGAAATCTGTTTAATTTGTTTTTTTATTTCAATTGATTTTTATTTTTTTAATCATCTTCAATTAAATTTATTTTAATTTCATGTAATGTAATTTGATTTAATTCAATTTAATGTAATTTAATTTAATTTAATTTCATTCAATTTAATTCAATTCAATTCAATTCAATTCAATTTAATAAAAACAAAAATTATTTCTCAATTAAAATTAATCCAGTTGATAATTAATTTCTATTTTTTAGCTGAAATTGATTTTAATTATTAAATGATTTTCAGTTACTATTTGGAAATAAATTAAAAAAGTTATTGATTTTCAAAATATTACTGGTGGTGCCTTCAAAATGATGATATAAAATGTTTAATTTATATTGTTTTATATTTTATACTATTTTTCACACCATGTTAAAGAATATTTAATAAAAATAATTGTAAAAATAAAGGCCTTTTCTTCCTGTACGTACCAATCGAAAAAGTCTAATTACTCTACTTAATAGACATTTGATACTGTACACGCTTTAAATTTCTCTCACACACACATCACCCACACATGCGAGCGTGCTGTCTCTCACTGTGGGTACAGGAGCGTATCAACTGGTTACCGAGCTTTCATATATATAGCATACAACAAAATGGCGGCGTATGCTCGGGGAGATAAAAGCATTCTAGTTGAAATTGCTAAAATGCATAAATTTTTTTAATTTTTAATGTTTGCCGAAATCATAAAAGTACTGTTTCAGTATGACGTATCAGTTCGATCGCTTGCAAAGTAGCTGTAGCTATAAGTATTGACGTTTTGAAGAAGTATACGCGATCCTGGTCCTAAGACTCAATCGGTTATCTTTGAAATTTACGACAGGAGACTGAAAACATAATTTTCCAGAAAACGCTAACGAAGAAAAAAACCAAATGGGAATCAAATAGTTTTGAAAAAAACAATGGAAACGGAAGAAAAAATTTTACTCAACTAATCATTAAAAAAATTTGATTTTAAATGACTGTGGGAGACGGAAATAACTTTTTATTAAAAACCACAGTCCAAAACATTTAAAATTTTTACACAATTATGTTCCATTTAAATGCGTGTCAATTGCCAGAGAATTAATCAACGCCATTGTTGGTATATGCTATATACATCAGAAAATAGAAGACTTTTACTTACTAGTCTGTACTGTCGCGTGAAGTGGACTGTGCTAACGTAACTGTTACACTAATATGCTTCTCGTATACTAGACTTACTCATTGCTCTGCATAGGGTGCAATCAAGTAGTCACTGCACCTCAAGAGGGCGCTTGCATATTCGTCTCTAAGTCTGTCTCATTCTCTCACTTTCTCTATTAATCGAATGATGTTTGCCTGCGCAGCAGAGTGGCTCGACACTGATACTTGCCGTATGTATATATGAATACTCTCAGTTTTTGAGAAAAAATGAAACAGTCATTTTAAAGGTAAAGTTTTCTTAGAGTAGTTTTTCTCCTTCATACGCTAAAGAACTATTGAATAATCAGTGGCGTGTTAGAAAAAGTGCCGCTTACAAGCTCATTTTCACTTACCGCGCGCGCAATTCGAAGGGCATTGATACATAAGATTTGGGATTGATAAAAGTACAGAGAGGAAGAAAAAACAATTATGAGAGTTTTCTTAGAGTAGTTTTTCTCCTTCATACGCTAAAGAACTATTGAATAATCAGTGGCGTGTTAGAAAAAGTGCCGCTTACAAGCTCATTTTCACTTACCGCGCGCGCAATTCGAAGGGCATTGATACATAAGATTTGGGATTGATAAAAGTACAGAGAGGAAGAAAAAACAATTATGAGAGTTTTTACTAATTCTGAAGAAATTTAGAAATTATTCTTTGTTTTAAATTAATTTTAAATGGTTTCTATGTTAGCTTTCCAGTTAGAACATATTGTTATTACTAATCATGTCTCTCTTAGCGAAAATAAACAGTCTTTCTACAAATGTTTCAAACAAAGTCGACTTGTATCCAAATTTTTTTTCGCATCGATCGCATGCATAATCTTTGCGATTCTCGTGGACAGTCTTTATGTGCACGAGTAAACTCTGTTTATTTCCGAATTTCTTCCCACAATTGTCACATGATTTTTTTTTAAACTTCTCTTCGCACTTCTCACATGCAAAATTCTTGCAGTACTCATGTCACTGCACTTTTTTTATATGCCTCTCACTGTTTTTATATGCCTAAGCAAACTTTGGTTATTTCTAAACTTCTCTTCGCACTTGTCGCATGCATAATATTTGCGACTATCGTGTACTGTATTTATATGCTTGAGCAAATTATTTTTATTTCTAAATCTCTTCGCGCACTTTTCACATAGATAATCTTTGAAAATTTCATGGAATATTTTTTTGTGCTTGAATAAAGCTAATTTATTTTCAAATTTCTTTTCGCACTTGGTACAAGTGAAATTTTCGTTATCTTTGTGTACCAATTTTCGATGCGTAAATAAACTTGATTTTTTCATAAATTTCTTTTCGCACCTGTCACATGCAAAAAAGTTGCAGCATTTGTGTTCTGATATTAGGTGTCTACTTAAATGACTTCGAAACTCAAATTTCTAAACGCAAACGTTACACTTGAAATTTTCACGATCTTTGTGTACTAATTGTTAATGCGCAAACAAAATCGATCTTTTTACAAATTTTTCTTTACAGTGGTTACATGAGTAACCTATTTGTTCTTTTTGAATTGTGTCTTGGTTTATTATTATGCTCGATTCTAGTGTAAATGCCTCCTGGCAAATATTACGAACGTTTTTTTTGTCGTTTGAAACAACCATGTCGTGTTCACTTGAATTATCTTTTAAAACAACTTCCTCGTCTTTTTTCTCACTTTTATCCATTTTAGTGCCTAAAATAATCGATGAATCCTTTTATCGGGGGTCACGGAAATTAAATAAGTAAAATTCATTTTCCGATGTTATGAGGTGTTTCACGGGGATAGAAAACATTAAAACTAATTTATGTTAACTGTAAACATGATCAGTTTTTGAGGGACTATTTAAAAATCGTGAAAAATCGTGTTGTTTACAAATAAGGTATACCAATTTATCTGTTTAAATATCATCCTCAAAATATTTGAAACAATTTAAAATTTTCACTTCTTGGCGATTCATCCATCCACCGTCAATGAAATGAAATAACTGTTTCGGCTTCAACACTATATGGCGAGTACCTTAATTTGTAAATCTACAAGTGTCACAGTAATCGTAATCGTTTAAGTTCAAGCACGGCGTTCTTATCATATTCAGATTCAGCGTTTTTACACTAAGAAAGAGCAGGATGGATAAGTCTATACATTCGAAATGTTACGTTCAATATGTTTATTATTTTATTAAGAAATATTAAAGTACAAAAATTATAACTAATCGTACAAAAAACGCTATGTTGTTTTTTTAATAACGAGCCGTCACACAAAAACAATCATGAAATGTTCTCCTATGGCCATTTAAATATTCATGATTTTATAAATTAAAAAAAAAACTTACAACATTCATAAGTATAGTATAATGATCGTAATCAAGATACTCGGTATCTTGATCTAACAAAAATTGCACTATCAGACTGTACACGTAGAAAGATGAAAATAAAACTCACGAATGATCATGTAGCGAGAAGGAAAAAATTCTTAAAAAAGTACGAGAAAGAAAAATAAATAAATCGATAGTAAATCCCATTTGTACAACAACCACCATCTATCTAATTCGCGTCTAAGCTTTTGAAAGTACTTTTTTAACTCTATCCTTGGACTCCTCGTAATTTTTCCATCGGGACGCGTAAACGGGCCTCAGCGTACTGGGCCGATTGTTGTTGTTGCTCGAGACGACGCTGCTGCTCTTGGTCATCGACACGTACTTCTCGGTGGTGCTGCTGCTTGGCTCCGGTTCGGCTTGACTAGTCTTCAATTGTTGATTATAATTAGCCGGCTCGGTGGTGTACTTCCAAGAGTTCGTGTCCTCCTCGTTCCACTTTTCGCTGGTCAGCGGCTTGATCTCGTAGGGTGGCTCTTGAATCTCTGCGCAAAGGTTACGAAAAAAAAAAAAGAAAATCACTCGATGCTCGACGTTAAGTGGGCAAAACCAAAGAATCACACACTTACCATCCTGATTGAGGGTGTAGGCCGAGTTCTCCGAGTCCGGATAGATGTAATCGTTGACGAAAGACATTGGACGACGATCGAAGCTACGACCCCAGCCGCCACCGCCGCCGCCGCCGCCACCACCGCCTCCGCTGGAGTAGTCGTAGCCGCCCCCGCCGCCGCCTCCGGTCTGGGGTGGCACTCCGTAGCTGTCGGCGGGTGGCGAGTAGCCGCCGCCACCGCCGCCGCCGCCTCCGCTTATGCTACTGCTGCTGGCTTTTGTGAGTAAAACAATTTCTTTCAATTGGCCTGTTATCGATAAATACACATTTTGGTTAGTCACGTGAGACGTTATTTTTGTTTTTTAATCATTACCTTGGCTACTGCTGCCCCCGCTGTATCCTCCACTGCTGCTACCGCCGCCACCGCCTCCGAAGAAACCTCCACCGCCACCGCCGCCTCCCTTCTTGCTCATGAACTGCATGATGAGCATCATCTTGGATATCATGAGGGACATCATCGAGAACACCATGCCCTTCATGGCCGCGACGCCGATCATGCCCATCATGCCCATCTTCAGGCCCATGGCCATCATCATCATGACTTTCTTGCAGCCGCTGTCGCCGCCGCCCTTGCCGCCTCCTTTGCCGCCTCCCTTGCCTCCCTTGCCACCCTTGCCGCCACCGCCGCCTCCTTTGTCGCCTCTGCCTGCAAAATCAAAGCCGAACGATGTAAAAAAATAAAGTTTGATTCGAATGATTGCTTAGACCTGCTAACCTTCGACGGCGTTGCTGCTCGTATCGTCGGCCATCACGTCGATCTGATTCTTCTGGCCGTTCCATCTGGGCAGGGTGATCCTCAAGGCGAAATTATCGAAGAACTCGTCGATGCTCTGGTCGATCCTCTCGCTGGGCCCGAGCAGCAGCAATCTACCCTCGTCGCTCCTGTCGCGCGCTTGATTCTTGATCTTCACCAGCTTCATGTTCTGGCCGATCAGGGTGATCTCCGGCAGTCTGCCTACCTGATCCAAGAATCTCGCGATCCTCTTCTGCATGCAGCTGAGCGAGAGATCCATGGCGCAGCGGCCGATCTCTCTGAAGGGAAAGGGTGGAAAATTGTCGGGCTGCTGCTGCTGATCCGCGCTGCTGGCTGGATGCTGCTGCTGCTGATCTTTACCGGGCACGATCCTGATGGCGACCTTGATGCCGTTCTTGCTGTAGTCGAAGATCTTGCGACCCTTGTTAATCAGCTCGAGATCGCGTATGCTGGACGCCTGCGCAGCGACGACCAGCAGTGCGAGCGCGCACAAACTTAGCCGCCTCGAGGAGGCAGCCGACGTTCTCGTGGCCATTGTCAGCTGCTGCAGCTCACGACGCGCACCAAGGTTTTTTTCGTCGAACTCGCGGATGGATCTCTCGATGCTGATTTGTTTTTTATCGTTAACGCGTGCACTTGTCTCGGAAGCCAATGATGAACTGACTGTCTGAGCGATAAGACGAAGCACTTTTATATAGAAGAGGATCCGTGCCGTTTATGCGAGGAATACTTGCGGCGAAATTGTCACGACGATGCAGCAGCAGCATCGGGCCGTGGTGGTGTGGTGCATGATCATACAGACGCTGGAATATAATCGGTATATAACGTAATAATTGTGCGGGCGGATGATGATGCTGACGGCGGTTTTCATTATGTCTTTAGGATATTAGGTTGATAGATCCGCCTACCAAGCGCTACAAGTCTACTTTTCGACTCTCTCGTCTCTTTCGAAGACGTTTGAGCATGAGAATGAAGCGAACTATAGGCATCCTGGGCGCATCCTCGTGCTTTTATTATAACTAATTTTTGTGGCCGAACGAAAGAAGGTAAGTCAGCCATCGACTGCTTCTTGTTTTGCACCAGTGACCTTGAAATTTGTTTGGTATTCGCTGGTATCGATGGTAAATAAAATAATCCGTTTTTGAATGCGCTATAATAGACTAATCTTGAATTGATTCAATTGTTTATTTACTATGACCATAATGAGTAAATGACGGTAACTCCAAGGATATATTTAATTTTCAAATAATATAAAAACGACAGACAAATGTACTTTTTCAAAGCTAAAATTTGATCGGATATTTTCCAACCCTATAAAAACAAATTCATTGAAACACTGTTTCGTAATGAATTTGATAAACGATGGAAGGAAAGGAATAAATAATAATGTTATAAATAATGTTATAAAAATAACAAAAGTCGAATCTCTTTTAATACTTGTTCTTCGGGTACACATTTTTTCAGTATTACAGTGATTAGTACTCAAGTAAGTAACTTAATGTCAGCTTTCACCGACAGATGGCGAGTAATTTTATCTGTGAATTCGCAAGTGGCAAAGTCAATATAAATGTATAAGTTAGTCAATGTTCTTAGCACTATAGATTGCACATCATTTGAAAATGCATATATTTTGAGTTTGTCGAATACGTTTGTTGTATAAAAACCACTGTCATTACTGATAGTGGAGAAAAATTTCAAGAGTAGCAATATTTCCATTGTAAATTTTACTTTTAACACTACTGATTCATCGTTTATATTAAAGTAAACTAATTCCTTATTGTTTACGAATTTGATTTTTCCAGATTTGTAGAAGATTTTCCCTAATATGCCAGTTTTACTACTGTAATTTTAATATAAAATTTTTATTATTTTTGCAACATGAATTTTTTTGCAATTTTTAATTTGTTATTTTTAATTTCAATTATTCTGGGTAATTATTTGCTGATTATGTTTTTAGAAAACAGAGAAATAAAGAAAGAAAGGAAAGAGGCTTTATTGATTCGCGTCCAGAATCAGTTCATAAATTATTCGTCAACAATGTTGGGATTAGACCGATACCTTAGATTTTTTTATAAAACTTTTTATAAAATTATTATTTGTCCTTTTACAGTATTTATACAAAATCCGCTACACCTTAAATGTCTAAAGCAGAAATTAAGTTAAACTCAATATAAAAAAAAATCAACTGAATTTATTTATTGAAGCCGTGGATCTGTAGTATAAAACAATATGGAATAGTTAGAAGCTGTTCAAATTAAATGTGAAATTCAACTTAATAAAGTTCAATTTTCTAATCCAACTACGCTACAACAAGACCATCAAAAAAGCCCTATTCTGAATCCATTCCGAATAAAAAATTTGATAATTTTGCAATTTCCATTTGCAATATCAATATTAATAAAATTTTATTCAAAATAAAAGTAGATAATACTAGAGGAACTTTGTTAGACAAATGATAATTAATTAACATGAAATGTACAAAAAAGCATTATGAACGATGTAAATTTTTATGATTTTTATGATTCAATGAAAGGAATCTCATGACAATAAAATAAAAACGATTATTCACTTGTTAAAGTATATAATGAGCATTATCAAAATAATTGTAACATGTTGGAATTAATTTTTATGATAAATTGACATAATTTATTCCTCGTTCATTCGATATGAACCGTTTTATGAGTTCATTAAATTTGAGTGTGAGTCTTATAACGACTACTAATTTTTTTTATTATTATAGGAATTCAAAACCATGTTTTCGTGTCACGAATATCGTATGGAATAAGACTCACACTCAAATTTAATGAACTCATAAAACGGTACATTTTCTATTTCCACAATAAGTACGATGGTACTTTTCAAATATTCTGAATCTGATTTATTCTTCTAATTTCAATAGTTCATTGATGAGGTTAGACATTTTTAGTATAAGTAGTTTTGTTATTGAAAACCAAGATTTGAAAATATAATAGATATAAATTGTCATTTTTCACATTCAATGAACGTTTTGTTCATTTGTTGGGTGTGCAATTGTAATAAAACTTTGATATTTTTGCAAAATTTCGAAGCTAGCTGTTTATAAGTCTTTCAATCGAAGTTTAACGTCATGTAACGATATATTATTTGTTATTTTAGAGCAATTCTATTGTCATGCTGGCAATATTATGATCACAATATTTCATCTTTGCGACAGCGGAATATGATGTCGATATTTCTGACTGTTTTATGTGGCATATACGTTTGACATTATGCTACCCCTGTAGTTAATTTTAATCTACTATGATACATTTAAGGTGGCTCGTCAGCAATCATAACAATAGTACAGCGAGGCGTATGTCTATCTCTTTCTCGCATTAGGCAAGCAACCGCTCGCACTATTCGAAATCAATGATTTTACGCACATTTTGTTTCATTACTCATTAGTTAGTTCGATAAGGGGTAATTTTTAACATACTAATCGAAAGGTAGTGACTTGAAGCATAACATTCTTGTTTTTGGTTAAAATCTGTTGTTTAATAAAAAAGTTATGGCGTCAAATGTATGAAATTATGATGGCCTCCCATAAGAGCCCATGATTCGTTCTCAAAAATTGGTTCGGTAACCCGTGCTGAAATTTCTACTACATATCAAGGGCACCTTAAATGACATTTCTGCATGCGAAGTTTCATAAACATCTGTTGTCGAGCCGTTTTACTGATGAGCCACCTTAAGAATTGATGATCGATTGCTAATGAAAATTGACGAACCGAAGCAAAAGTGTCTTGGATAATTCATGGATTAATTATTTATTATTAATGTTATTTGAAGGGACATGACTGTATTTATTTCTGAAAATTCATGTTGAGTGTAAACAAGAAAATTTAAGATTATTATGAATTTTTTTTTTTATTTAAAATTATGTTTTTATGAGTCTTTTTTAGTCCGAAAGTATGACACTTGTCTCTTTCATTATTTAAATTAATCCAGCATTCATCAATGACGATTCATGATTCTGTAGTTCTATGCTGCATGAATCCGAATGGAATTTATGACCAATTCGAACACTTAGGGCCTTGAAAGCTTCGTAATAAGATTTTCTCCGCTGATTCTTAATTGAATTATTTATTTAATCCACCAATCTCAAAAACTATCTGTAAACTTTGTAAGAAAATCTATTTTTGGAATTTTTTTAGTATTTTAGTACGTAAAACATTTTGCTAGCCTTTTCTTGAAATTCTGTTTCACATGAGTAGGAGAGAAAAGCACTGTTAAGAATATTGAATTTTTTTTGGAAATTAATTTATTCGTACTGATTTCATTTTGGCACTAAATTAAGAAAAGTAAAGCCAGACTCTACCGCTAGATGTCGAGTAGCTTTAAATGTAAATCTGTAAGTGGAAAAATGAAAATAATTGTATAAATCGAACAGCCAAGAAAGCCAAGAGCCACATTCATTATAATGTGATTAAAAGTTGCTAAAACAAATAAAAAGTAAAAATGGACCTTTTTACAAATCTGAAGTTTATTAGGATATAATATAAGGATTTTTAAGGATACAAATCGGTTAAACCAAATCACCTTTTTATCCGTCGAAACCAAGCAAATAATGTATATTTTTTATTCTTGCTGCAGCATAATGACATTTGCTTATTATAAAAGTTTAATGATAAACAAAAAAGGATTTTCAAAAAAAAAGGTCAAAATTTAAACGTTTAATTTAAAAAGCATATTTTATTTGAAAATTGTATTTTTTTAATAAGTATAAAATTGTATTGATAAAATTAACATTATCTACGTTTACATTTATTAACTTACGATTCATTTATTAACTTGTTATTGTTTGAAACCAAGCTTTTTGTACTATACCTGACGCGAGTAGCAATCAAAACAAGTTAAAATCCATTTAAATAAATATCATACCTTTAGAACTATTTTAAAAAGTAATGTAATCACCGAAAAGTACAGAGAAAAGAAAGTTATGAATGATAGGTCAACTTTATATATTTGTATTTATCGAGTGAAAACTAAGAGCTCAATTTTAAACTACTTTTAATTTTTCGGAGAAATGATTACCTGATTTTAATCATTAATAGGGACAGAAGACGATAGAGAAAGTAAAATTCTTCGATAAAAGCGATCAGTAATTAAAGCTTAATATGACGGGACGTACTACAACCTATGAAAAATTGATATACTCTATCGGTGAATATTTCAAAATTAGAATTAAAATTTCACAATATCATACGGCTAAACTAAAAAATAATTTAAAAAAAACACTGCTCGGAACTTAATCTTTGGCTACGAAGTTCTTCAACTAGCATAATTATTAGTTCAAGACGATAGAAAAAAAGTCTAAAAAGCAGAAACTTATGATAAACCGATACGATAAAAAAAGCAACGAGTTATGCAGTTACCAAAAGAGAATTCAAATCTACTTTCGCTGTAAACGAAAAAAAAAAAATATATTCAAACTACGATCACTAGTAGGTCTTTCCGAATATAGAAAATACAAATTCTACGTTATTCGTGCGAATAAAGATCGACGACGGATAAAAGCAGCATAGCATTTAGCGGTACGCAGTCAGGGTAAAAGTAAAAACAAGCCATAAACCGCGCCGCGGCGTAAAAGTCTCGAGGAAACAGTAAAAAGCGATCGGAAGTAGGCGAGCGCAAAAAGGGGCGAGCGCGTCGAGCGCAGTTGTAGCATGAGCTATTTACAATGATATGCACTCCGAAAAGACGACGCGACGCACTTTACTTCATTTTTGTTTTTGTTCTCTCTCTTCAAACGTAACGACGAGCCCGTCGTCTCTCTCGCACGTTGCCGTAAGTGACGATCGTCTCCTCCTGGGAGTGGTGCAGCTGCTCGTGCTGCCGTTGTTCGTGTTGTTTCTGCGCCTCGTACCGATGGTTCTTCTCGATCTGCTGCTGCATGTGCACCTCCGGCACCGTCTCCAAATTGCGCGCGTATCCGGGATAGGCGTGATGCTCCTCGGAGCTGTGGCTGTGCGTCGTGGCGTAGACGGGCTTGCTGACGATCTCGTAGGTGGTCTTGTGATCGCCGCCCGACGACAGATGCTTGAGCCCGACGATGGCCGAGAGCATGAGGGCCATCAGGCCGGTCATGAGGGCTTTGCCGGCCAACATGGCCAGGGCGCCGAAGCCGAGGGCGCCCAGGGTGCCCTTCATCATCATCAGGCCGGCCATCATGCTGCCGTAGCCTTTGTCCTTTTTACGGCCTGCGGGGGGGATCGGAAAAGCGACAGAAAAAAAAATGTGAGCGCGTATTTATCTCGATCGTTAATGATCCAGCTTGTTGCTTTAATTGAATACATGTGCTAACGAGGCAAGATATTAGGAAAAATATCGCGATTAAACACTGATTGCCCCAATGTAATAAACCCATTGACCCATTAACCGTACAACCAAGACGAAAATGTTTGTGTTTTTACAGTTTTAAAAATCATCATCCAAGCCCACTACCACGACGTAAGTAGGTTTTCTCACTGTTCGCGTTGTGTCGGTCGCGCACTCGAATACGTTCGACAAGTCGATTCCTAATTGTGTCACCTGACAATTTTACACGCGCTTCAATTCGATCGTGCAATGATCGATTTTGCACGCCTGTTTTTATTTTGCACGCTCGGCGTCGCGATCGAGCTTATGGCTCGAAAAAAGCGACCCTGTTCGAACGGCCGTTTCTCCGCGATTGAAATTTTCTCGCGACGCGTCCTATCGTTTCTATTTCGAAATTTCTTTCCAAAAAAGTTAAAATATTATATACAAACCTGACTCGACGTCGTGACTTTTCTTCTCGCCAAAGTCCAATTGTTGCATCGCGGCGTCGTTGAATTTTTTCGTCGCCTCGAAGGTGCGAGGATCGAACAGCTTGATCGATATCGCGTGATTATTGAGATAAGTGCCAATTTTGTGCATCAAGTAGGCGTCCATGCGTTTGTCGACGTCTTTGGGAAAATCTCGAGCGAGATTGGCAACCACGTCGGGTGCATCGCTGCTGCTGCTGTTCTGCTTTATAACCGAGACTCCAGGCAGAATACCTGATGGAAACAGAGAGACAAGAGAATTACGTATATTTGGCAGTGTGAATAATTTAAAATTCACTTGTTTTTATTACTATAGAAGCTACTTTGATTTCTCCGCTTTAATCATTTCGGATGTTCTAATGTTTAGAAAACTTTAATCGTACCCTGGCTCCAGTCTGGGTCGATTCATTAAAATAAAATCATGTGAAAACGAAAGTGATAGATGAATCAAGCCTTAAAAAATTTGAGGATCACTCGATAATTGACAAAAAAAAATCACAGCCACTGCCGAGATTTATTTATCCGATGATTCTTACATTTTCTAATTGCTACAAACACTCACACTCATGAATACAGTTGTATAATCGAATATCGACCACTCACCGAGATTTTCTTGCTCCGACAGCCGATCGACGAACGACACGATGTCGAGCTTCAGACACGTGGACGTGTAGGTCTTGACGCAATCTTTTTTCCAGCTGTCCATGGGCGCCGTCGTTGACGCTGATGCACCCTGCGAATTCGTCTCCACGGACTGTCCACTCGTGTTTCCATTGATCTCGGCGTGCGCGGCGCGATCATTCGCCATCGCGAGCATCAGTAGCAACGCGCAACTCGATATCACCTTCATTTTTGCGATCTCCCGCGAGATTCGGGCGAAAAATTGCAATGATCCTCGGCCCGGTCCGTTTACCGGATTAAAAGACACTGGACCGAGCACCAGACCGGCGACTGCATTATATATGCACACACAAAGACACAGAGACACGAGCCCCGGCTCGCGAGTGCAGTGCAGCAGTAGCCGTAGCTCGGCTCTCTCACGGTCTTTTTAGTTTGCCTCCCTATCTCGAGCACGGGCATTAGTATACGTGTATATGAATGAGCAGCGCAGCGCAGAGCAGCACACCTCTCTTACGCCGGTGTTGCACACCTGCAACGCCGACTCGTCTGTGTATTTGGAGGACTGCACAAACAGACATACTCCATACACACTGTGCATAGAGAAGGGATAGCAACGAAATGGAGCGGAGAATTCAGAATCAATGTCAAATTTAGCCGAAAAAAAAAATGTTTATCACGGATACCAAGAGGCACAGAGATCATGTTCGATGCAGTCGTATACGATTGTCCATGCGGCGCGCGCGACCATTATGATTTTCATTCGGTCCCATTGGAGAGAGAGATAGCGTATACATGCATTATCATACTTTCATTTATCGCGACTCTATTGTATGAGCTCTGAAAAATGAACGCGAAGAATTTTTTTTCGTTCTCTCTCGATCGCGATAAGAGCACTGCTCGGTGTGGTTTTAAAACGAGACGCATTTTAGCAGTCAATTATTATAATTCATTTGAAAAAGTATCCAAGCTACCGGGTTAAAAATATTTACATTAAAAATTTAAAGATTTTTTCATGGATTGTCGCATTAATGTAAAGTAAAAGTGTTTAAATTGTCATTGAAATTACATTAATTTTCGTGTATTTGTTCTCAATTTTCTATAATTGAAATATCAAAAAGGTCAATTAAATTGAATTTTTAAATTATAAGAGAATAAAATTTTCGTTGATACTTGTACCCAAAAATGAATCAAACTTCATTGCATTTATTACCATCAAAGGTATTGATTTTTTAAAATCTACATCGAGATTCAAAAATCTTTATTTTTTATAAATAAATTGTAACTATTTAAGAGGTACCGATGTTTGCTTGATAACCGCGTAATTTTTGGCGAAATATTATCAATTTACCTTGGCCTTAGTATCTTCTTAAAACTCAATTAAGTTATTCAAAAATGTATTCTTTCCTTTATATTTTTGAACTTATGCAATTGTTTTTCCTTTACTACTAGCAGATTTTTAGATGAAAGTACTCGCCATCTAGTGGCAATGTTCAATTACGATTGGATTTTGATGAATCTTTCGAGCAATTTCAATCAAAATCTATTTTGAAGATAGAATTAAATCGGTTTTCTTCATTATTGCATTAAAAATAACAACCACCCAATATGATGGAATTTTCATGCATTTTTTGTGGAGTTCAAAGTAAAAAAATTAATCAATATCTGATACATTAATTTTCAATGGATATTTCATGTGAAATTACAAAGATTTTTGTGATTTAAAAAAAAATAAATATAGAAATTAATCATTGCTATAAAAGCCCTCGATAAAAGATTCCTTTTTTGGCGTTTGACACATTTCTGCTTAAAAAGAATTCAATTTCTAGTCACATTAATAGTATCGCATCAAGCACGTCCGGCGGCAATGAGAAAAAGTGACAGTGAAACTTAATATCAATACTTCAAATTCCAAAGCGAGCAAAAACTTTTATGATCCTTAACAATATTTTTCACCGCGAATCGTTGAAAAATTACAATCGCGGGACGTTTTATGCGCGTGCTAAATGGTTGGTCACTTTCTCTCTCGACTGTATAGAGTACCGCGAATAGTGCTCGTTGCTCTAGCCGATACGCGGATGAGAAATTATTCACGTAGCACCCGAAAACGAATTTAGTTTCGTGCGCAAAAAATTTGCAAAAATTTCTCACAGGCTTCCGAGAGACCTACTTCGAGCGCGCGTGGAATATAAATTGAAGCGCGCGGTACAAAGTACGGGCTAGCGCTAAATCAAATTTTGATGCCTACGATGATTGTTTAGCGCGAGATTCTTCATTTGAAGTTGACGACATCGTTTACTTTTTGAAATTCGAAATTTCATTTCGTTTCAATTAACCGGGAGAACTCACACGTCTTGTATTACTGGAATCATTCGAATTCGATCAAGTTTAGGGCACTTTTTCCTGACAAATACATGTGATTCACACTCCGAATATAGATTGCATAAAACATTACTTATTACAAAAATTAAAAAAAAATGTATTAACATCGTAAAACTAGATCACTATAACATTAGACACTGAAATTTAATATTTCAGTTGTGGTTTTTTGATCTGACGTTATTTACCTCGTGACTTGCAATGAGAAATCTAGATCAATCGTTGATTGAAGAAACCCTATTCTACGATAGCTCAATAATTTAAACTAAACAAATATTTACTGCACATATTGTAAATAAATATGAGGTTTTCATGCAGATTTTTACATTTATGTAAAAGAGTGTCTATTTGGCGTACAGTACAATAATACTACAGTTTATTAAGTAGTAAATGACTCTGAGCTCGGCTAACGGATGCTATTGAGCTACCTGCCCCTGTACTTCGACTTTTCTGTTCACTTCGCAGATAGCCGGGAAACCTGAGTACAGGAGCTTCAGTCGTACAAACTGTTCCTCCGCAAACGACGCTCGAGATAAAATGTTGAACTCGAGTCTTCTTAAAGCTACATTTATACCAATTTTTAAATTACATTATGTTCGTCATTATAATTAGTTGTATAATGAAAAGGTATAAATGTGCATTCAAAGTTATTAGGTAAATATGGACAAAATTGATATTAGATTAGAACAAGATATCATTGAAAAGGTTTTTTTTTTCAATTCATCGAAATTTTCATTTAAAATTGGTTTCTTATTTTTTACTAAAAAGCTCAGTGATATTTTCATTGACTAAGTGCATGAATTAATAGCATATTTTTGTTTTTCAAAATTTTGATACTTTTTTACTACCAATGACGTTTGTATTAGTTCGAAAATCTAACCCGAATTCATTTATTTCATAAATAAATGATATTTAATCATTCTTTGCAAATATCACATTTTACAGAAAAATGCAACCAAATCGAATAAAAATTGAACAAACTCCTACACGTGCCACACGTGTCTCCCACAAATCGTCTCCCTATTCTAGTACGCCGAAATATCTGAAAAAATAAAAACATTCGAATTCTCGAAACGAGCAACCTCCACTCGCCTAAACTCTGTTTGCTAAACTCTCGACGCTCCTCTCAATACACACATCTTTGCGGCAAAGACGCGTCGTACATATAAAACATATTTATATATACACGCAGCAGGAAGGCGATCTTGCTCGCGCGGTAGCATTCACCGTGCGAATGTTAGCCTTCACCTTGGCCGCCACCTGGTAATATAGCCGTGTGAGCGCCTCGATCACTGCCTCGTATAGACTTGCAGCGTGGTCCGCTCTTGCTGTGTTTGTGCATCTTTCGCGATGTCGTCTCCCTCCCGTTCTCCGTGCATCCGAAGAGGAGAAAAAAAAAATTACCGTTCCACAACGGATCCCGTTACTCCGACTGAGCGAGCGAGCGAGCTATCGTCCCCCCCACTACACCGACGATCCGCGGCAGTGGCCGCCATGGACGGTGGCAGTGAGTAGAAGGCTGAGGTCATGGCTCTTTCTCTCCATATATCCACTGTGTATATGTTTCGCTCGCGCACACAGCTCGGCGCAGCAGCGGTGGCGGTAGTGGCGGCGTCGGTCGCGGAAGTTAACGACTTACTGACCTCGATAATTGTCCAATGACGCCGACGAGCTCCGACGCACACGCCCACGACCTATATTCGACGTCGCCTTCCCCACTACTCCCACTTCGAGCTTCTACTACTAATACTACTACTCTCTCTACTATATGCGCATGGGAGCCGACGCTTGGTGCGCCTTCTTTTCCGCATACTTGTCGCGCGTCGTACTATATACACGTTCCACCTGTTGAGGTATTCGCCGATCCGGTTTCGTTCCCTCTCTCGCCGAGGATTCTACCTCTCTATCCCTACTCTATGAGGCCTCGAGCTATGTTGCGCTCGATGCACCGAGCGCGCACGAACGCACGCGGTTTTGCCTTCGTGGATTTTTTTCGTTCTCTCGAATACGTCTCGATGCGATATAATACCGATGAGAATATATAGGGAAAAATTCGTACGTATGGGAAAGTGTTTCACGAGTACTTTTTTTCCACCGTTGATAGATCGAAAAATCGTAGAAAAAAATTATTCGTACCCTTATAAAACGGATCAGCCAGATATCCGTCATCTCCCGTTCGTCTATGTATGTATAACGAACCGATCACGCTGACCGACGATCGCGCACGATTAATATGTAAATTCATTAATTGTCACCACGCGTAGTCTCCAATCGCAAAAAATAGGTCAAATATTTTTGCTTCGACCTAACGCAAATAGTTATAATATATCGACAGGATATAAATCTCAATGATTCTCGCGTATCAACGGCACGAGGAAACAGATTTTTTGAATGCTATGTTAACCGCTCGCCACGCTTCGAGGAATGCGTGCGTGCGAGCGCGAATATTATTTATGAATTTTTTTTTTCGAGTTGTATACAAAATGTATAATACGTTTATGATACTCGTGTGTGTGTAAGTTCGCGTGTGTGGCTGCTGCTGCTGCTCGAGCAATTAGGTTTCTCGCTTGTGGCAGCGGCGAAGCGCATAGCGATGCGGCCTTTTTTCGAGGGCGCGATTTGCAAGTGTTTACGTATAATTGTGACGCGTGTACCGTACGATTTTTCTTTGGCACGATTGTCGGATACTGCGCACGTATGGTCGATCTCCGAAGCCTCTAATTTTTTAACACCGATACGATATAACGCAAGACGAATCTTTCAGTTTTTCTTTTTCTTTTCTTTCGCGTTATCTCTTTTACTTACCTCGTGCCTCGAGCTACGGCAGCATGTGGAAAGATGGTTAACCGTGATTATTCGCACATCTTATTGTTACAATTAGACATACTTATTACTACAATGTTTTATGTATAAACAAGCATTTTAGAAGCTTAATTATTTCTGATCTATGGCTTAATTTTGTACGTTTTATATGAATAAAAATAAGTGCAATTTTCAATTATATAAAAATTCAACGAAATCGTTCGTGTATTTCAATTAAAATTAAATGAAAAATTATACAAGCGATGATGGATTACAACTAAAATGGAAACATTACACGTGCGCGATGCTAAGCGTAAACTCAATTACACGAAATATACGATTCGTGTGTACAAAAATATTATCAATCTCACACCGGCAGCTCCGGATAGCCGTGCAGATACTGTTGTTGATGCTGTTGCTGCTCCTGGTGCAGACCGACGAGTTCCGGTGTCCAGGCGTGAATCTGCGGCTGACTCAGCAGATCCTCCTGCGATCTGTGCCAGCCGCCAGCGCCATGATGATCGTGATGATGATCGTAAATGTCGTAATGATCGTCCACGTAGGGTTTGGCCGCGTAAGTAATCCTGGCCGGATGATACGAGGTCGGGATGTGCGAGGGCGTGAGAAGCGCCTTGAGAGCCACGGCGCCCGAGAGCAGCAGCGCCAGCACACCCGCGCCGAGGCCCTTGATGCCGATCAGGCCGATCAGAGTCAGCATGATCGGCAGGACGATGGCTGCCTTCAGTTTCAGGGCGAGGAGGATGGGCACGATGATTCGCTTGAGCTTGGTGCGAGCTGGAATCGTGAGATAGATTTACATTTTTTCATCGCTTTTATCTTGTTTAAATTTAAACATTTGTTTTGGATACATTCGGTAACTAATTTTTTTTTTTTTCATTTTTTGTTTCTCGACTTCTCAAAGTTTGCGTAATTAGGGGAAAACGTCTCTTATGGACATAGCTTCTTTGTTGTAATTAACGTTTCTTTACATTGGTCAAAACCTTATACACCCATTTTGACTTTACCACTTGCAGAATTCCAAATAAAGGTACACGCCAACTATTGACGGAAACTTGAACTAGGAAAGTGGTTTCTTTTTTGGAAACAATTAAATTGTCATTTTTAGTGTAATTCAGTGCAATTTCAGTTAATTTAACATGCAATTAATTTTTTTAAATATAATTTTAACAGAAAAACTGTCAAAAAACCAAATCATGATTATGAATTTTGAAAATAGGTCATAACGTTGAAAATTTCTAACAGGGCAATAGAAAAAATTGTGGAATATTTGTTCAAATTTTCTGATATTACCACGGCAATTTTTCATTCTCATATCTCATATTATTATGCATCATGTGGTACAAATATAAGTAAAAGGACCCTCCGCGAGGGCAAAAAGTCGAAATGTTCTATGTTTATAAATCACCAACTCAAATATATCTTTTCTCATGCAGAAGTGAAAGCTTCTTTAAATTTTTTGTTTTTAAATTTTACGCCTCAAAGGTACGCTCACGTCTTGGTCGTAAACAGTGATGAAATCCTTTGTAAAAGAGAAAGTACACACACACACATAAACACACGGACAAAATCCTTACCATGATAGTCAAGTTGTCGGTGATTTTCTAACTCGCTTTGAGAGAACGAGAAAAAAAATAAGGAGGTCGAGCAAAGACGACAAGTCGAGTGCCATATACACACGAGTCAAAAAGTATATGCTCTCTTGTATGTACACACATACAAACACACTCGTAAACGTGCAAGAAGATTGCGAGAGAAGTGTAAAAGAATGAGAAGCGGAAAGAAAGAAAGAAAGAAAGAGAGAGAAAAAAAAAGAGGAGCGAAAAGGAAAATTGCCGTGGCGAGTGAGAAGATACGCCCGTGTACATAAAAATGTCTGGTGTCCTCGAGCCTACTTTCTTTCCAAGGTGATTCGTGTAAAAAGGTATATAACACGCGCACGCGCACACACACACATTCTCCCTACTCTCTTGCCCAAGGTATAATGCCCAAGAGCTCGACCCAGATAGCCGAAAAATTCGTCCGAGAGAGAGAGAGAGAGCCACGCGGAGAGAACATCCTCTTCTCCTGACCTCCTTCTGGTTCCAGCGAGAAAGAGAGAGAAGAGAGGAAGAGGATGTCTCGAGCACGTGAAGTAGCCCACGCGTTGGGTTAACCGCCGATGTATTACAATACGTCAATACCTAAAAGCCATGCATATGTACTTATGCTTTGTAATTTTTTTTTTCGTTGTTCTCTTTAACTAGTGCGGCTGCTGATGCTACTGATAACGAACTAGGGTATTTTTTAAATTTTAGATGGCTCGGAGGATTGCACGGGTGTGCTATAAGCAATTTTATATTGTTGTAAAGATTTGTAAAATAATTTATTAATAATTATGAATTGTGAAAAAACTCAACTATAGCAAGTGAATAAAATATATTATAATTCGAATGGAATTTAATTGGTAAACTAAGCAACTTCTCATTCGGGTTTTCGCTGTTTCGTAGCGCCATCTGAGTCAAAATTTGCGCTACCTCACTACCAAAGCAATAAAACTCGAGCAAATACGGAAATTATTCTGGGATCAATTAACGGTGCATTTATTTGCAATAATATACTTTTTTGATTGTATTTGATGAGCAATGGTTTTTATATTATCAAACTCAACTTTTAAATTGATATCGTATTTTTCATTTAATTACGAAGGAGTTAATATCATGCATTGATTTATTTATATTATAGATAAATAGTATTTTACTAAAAAAATTCAAGCTTTTATGCAATTAATGCATTTCAATATTTTTTTCCTCAATTGTATTCGTAGGTCTCAAAAAATATTATGTTTGTGTCAATTTTTATAGCGCAACGCTGAGCATTGTTATTTGACGATAATTTTTTTTTTAATATTACATACAGTGTTTCATCAATTATATCAATGGGAGATTTTTCTAATTTCAAAAAAATTATTCAAATATTCTATCAATTATTTACAACTAATTCGTTCAAAAAAAAAATTTTAGAACACAAAATGAAATAGGTGTCGATGAAGCCTGAGAAAGTGGTATATACAATACACACACACACACACACACACAAGCTCTCCGCTTGCACGCGTGGAATACCTCATTATTATACACGGCCTGGCTCATGAAAAAAAAACAGGCGCACACACACGCAGCGGAATGCACCACGCGCAGCGCCTCGAAGAAAGAGAGATAGCCTATATACTCGTGTGCGCAGCGGCGCATGATGCACCCGGAGCAGAGAAAAGTAGCACTGCGAGTAGGCCTACTTTTCCGCGATGGCAATGGCGGGGGGGGGGGGGGNGGGGGGGGGGGTCCGTAGCAGCAGCGAGCAGTGACCCACTTGACGGCCATTCGCGGGACCGCCGCAGCAGCCAAGTGCAGCAGCAGCCGGCCTTATATAAAAGATCGGGCGGCGCGCCGCAAGCCGCCAGGACATTTGGAGCTGCCGGCGCGGTGCGTGAATCTCTGCAGCTGCGAGACGTGCTGCCGCGTGCAGCGCATTTTACAAGTGCTGCTGCTGCTGCAGCTCGTGCTTGGCTAATCGTGTGCACTGCAGCGTCGCACTGAATGTCACGACGTTACATATTTTTTTTTGTTTTTGTAATAAATTTGTACGTTTTATGCGTGTCTCGAGCGAGGCGTCGATTTTTAAGATATGCAAGTTTTTTTTCACGGTATAATTCGCAATCATTTATTGTATATGGCAGAATATTTGAAACCCATTCATGAAGGTAGAGGTCAGTCTTCCTTTACACGAAGTTTGAACGCGAGACTGAATTAGAAAATGGTAGTTCACCGGAGACAAGACAATTTTTTTTTTCGAAATAAAATGAGTTGATAAATAATTTTTTCCCTTTATTGTTTAACTATGTGAAAAAGACCGCTGTTATCGGAAAAAATGAACGATCACCATAAAACAATATTCATTGTTTTAATTATGATTGTTTACTATGTATAGCGGTTACGTTTACACATATAGCTAATTAGGTTAATAGATAAATAGTAATTAAGACTCAAACTAGTGTAAAAAGAGTAAACATGAATTATTTATCCTCGTGTCGTCTAATGGCTCTAATTAAATCAAAATCCTGAAACGTAATGCTTACATAGCAAACCGAGAGAAATCTCTATTCATTTCTGATACTTTCAATAGATAGCAAGTCCATTGTAAAATAAGTTAGTCTTGAATACACTAAAAAAATCATATAGATATATAGTGCAATTTTGCCATGGAAGCAAAATATATTTTGTTGAATATTGTACCCCTAAGATTTTTTTCAGTGTAGTCGTAAGCAAAAAAAGTGTCATCTTACGTTCCGAAGCTCCGCTTATCAGACCCCTCATTTCGAAGCTGTAACTCTTTCGTCCCAAAGCTCGACCGAACAAATCGCTGGACGATCCGTCGCTGGGAAATCGAATCGACAGTCGTCTGCTGTCGAAAAAAGCATCGATCCTTCGCATCAACGGATCTTCCTCGATATTTTTCTCGCTCGTCTCGTTTACTTCTGTAATTTTGTCCAAACTAACGATGCTCGGTACTATCTCGATCGAGTCCCGACGATTTAAATCATCCATAAACGACGTTAATTTGGCCTCGTTCGACGACGACTCCTCGATCGCCAGTGCCGATGCAACGAGACAGCAGAAAATAACGAGACATAATCGTACGGAGGATCTGCTGCCGGCGAACATGTTGTAAAAATTTTTTTTTTTTCTAAGTAACTATATATATGTAATTGCTATATGGCACTGTGTACACGAGCAGCTGACGTTTCGATGCACTCGACAAAACTCTTTATCACGACTGTCATTACGAACGAGGCAATTTTTCCTTTTTATATGTCGCCCCCGCGATCGGCACCACGGAAAGGGTGGGGTTTTAAAATCAATTGTCAAACTGCAAGTGTTGCCTCGATCGACACGCACGTGGTGTCGCGAATTTTAAATTTTACACACACACGGTGACTTTTAGATATAGAGAGATGCTGGCGACGCATACTAATTGCGCAACAGTAGGCACGCGCGTTTTTTCTTTCGCCGCTTCGCACACAGTTCGCTTTCGAGCGAGACTCGTGCGCGCCTCTCGGAGTCCTTCACACGGAGAATTTCGGATCGCTGCTCTACATTTTTCTGTTAATGTATTTTAGAAATTTGTTTGCTTTGAAAAATGTCAATAAATATACCCGCGGGATGGGTACACTTTCACCCGGTAAAAGGTATACACATTAAATTAAATAATTACATTACACGCATGGACGTTTTTTAGCTCGGTCGAAATTTTAAATAATCACTGCGATAATACCCTCGTACCTACTGTGATTTAATTGATACGGAAAATGTTCGATGTCCAAAGCCTCTTAGGTGATGAATGACTTATTTCGTAAATATAAGGTACATAAAAATTACTATTAATTTTTTTGATTATGAGAATCTGTTGTGGGGCATCTGGGAATTGTTGTGTCAAAGGGGGTTGCAGCTGCTTTACAAGAGTGGAGGATTGCCCAACAGGGATTAGAAAACACATTCCAACTGTAATGATTCGATTATTTTGACTTCAATCAATGGGTGATAGATTTTTTATGCTCTAATCGTTTCTCACATTGAATGATATGTTTGAAAACAGACATTACGCGACTTCTCAGATTTATTATGAAATTATGCGATGGACGTGACCGTATGTCAATTGCGTATGATGGTTGGGGTGAAAGCTGTGATTTTTTTACTCTAAGAGACGCGGCTTTTACTTCCTATCAAAGATAATCGTATAGCTTATAAAGGATACCTTACTAGAGCATTATATTTGTCAAATGCTGTGAGTATGACTAGAAAACAAAGACATTTTTTAGAGAAATGATTTGTATTATGAAATGTAACAGGAGACTCAAAGAAAATTTTATATTGCAACACTTAATAGGGTTTCATCAAGATCGTTATTCAGAGTATTTGAATTTCTGACATAAATTTCATTTGCTTTGAATGCGAATAACTCGTAAGAACTTGAAGGAAGTAACTGAGATCTGGCCTACTAATTTTTACTGATCCAAGAGCAATGAGTGTGTTAAATAGCTCGAGTAGAAGTTGTAGTGAGTTGCAGCTTATTCGTATAATTTTGAGTCTACTAATGAAATGAAAAGTGTCAAGACTAGATTTTTCGTCATGGAATATATAAAAAATTAACAATTACGCGTTTCCAATACCATAAGTAATTTTAAAATTTATTGTTTTATTGGAAATAGGGTGAAAATTATGAAAACTTTTATAGTTTTGATTGAATTTTTTGTTTTTTTATTAAAAAAATTAATGAATCGCAATGAGATGAATTATGAATGGCAAATATGAATTAACAAATGATGATTCATATTAAACACTAGTTATAACTATAACAAAAGCGATGTTGTTTCGCTCATCGCACATATATTTGAAGAAAAATTGCAGACTAATATACAATTGATCTCCAAAATTTACAATAAATAATTTACATATAACTCTAAGTACACCCACAAGCCCTCAGCTCATTATGTTTACAGTGTCAGTATAAAACTTGATGCGATGAATCAAACAGTCGTATTCAAGTTAATGTTAGCCAGTTCAAATTGTCAGAAAATCAGTCACTTTGAACTTGTTAATACTTTGGTCGGAAAAACTTAACATGATATCGGTCGTCACTTAAGTCGAAAAAACTCGATTAAATCACAGAACAGTCACGTCACAGTCGTAGTCAATCGTCATTGTTGTCGTCAAGTCGGGCAACATTAGACGAGATTTTCGTCGCGCTCGAGTAAAATCGTATACTCAACAGCGGAAGGAAAATCATCAATGTGTCATGAATAAAATTGCCATCATGGCATTAAAGTATTTCTACTGTAGATGTGAACTTATTGAGCAGGTGCTTGTGCGGAGTAAGCGAGTTGCTGAGCATCCAAAGATCTCTGGTATCCAGTGAATGCACCAGCTTGGGCATAGGTGGCTGGTTCGTAGTTATATTGAGGGGCGACGTTGTTCTTGCCGAAAAGACCACCTGGGAAGGCGATTTGGCTACCAGCACCGAAGAATTTTTGGAAAAGGAGGACTCCAGCGATGAGGATGGCGACCTTGCTGAGGAAGATGGCTTTGGTGACGAAGAGAGCAAGTCCACCGAGGAAGACTGGGGCCAGAGCGAAGAGCTTGACTCCGATGAGGGTGAGCAGAGGAGTCAACAATTTCTTGTGTTTCTTGCTTGGGGAGTGGGAGAAGACTGAAAAATTGCGAAAAATTAGTAAATAGGAAAATTTTACACTTAAAAGTGTCCAATCAAAAAAAACTTATTAAAACTTACTGTCATCGAGGGAGCGACCTTCTGGCATATCGACCTTCAGACTGTGGCTTTGGACGAACTTGGCGGCGTTATCGTACATCATGGTGGCAACAGCCATGGCTTTTTGGGTGGAATCAGCGGGCAATTCGGACATGATTTCAGATTCTGATTTCAATGCTTTACCGGTGCGTTCGACTGAAACAAAACGAGTGAATATTAAAAAATGCTGCACAATTTTAAAAATAATTTAAATAAATCAAACTTAAAATTTTGAACAAACAAAATTATTCAAATATTTACCTGGGGTGTCTCTGACGAGGGTGACTCCATCGATGAGGTTGATGTCAGCTGACCTGGCGGCCCTCTCGAGGGTTGCTGTGGCTTTGACGGCTAAGCAAGTCAACTGATCAGCTGACTCGTTACAATCCAAGCCAGAGCTTGGGGCTGGTGTGGCAATGGCCGAAGCCACCAAGAGACCGAATACGACGTATTTGAACATTTTGATTTTTTTTACTCAGTGAAGCTGAGGTACTGTGGTGCACTCGAACGAGAACTAAAACTCAATGATTTGGATTTCTTTCTGTCCAAGTATATATACCTCTGGACCAGTGGACCCCTACTTCTAGCTCGTGTACTTTGCGTGCGTCATAAGTATGTACGCAACATCCGAATATGTCGCGCGCACACTTTTTTGCTTTGTGTTGTACAACGCACACTTCCTCAGTTAATTTCTCGGACAAACTTCTCAAAAAACTAGAGTGAGGAGAGGCAAAAGAGTATCCCAGCGAATCATTAGCCTTTATCGAAATTGCAAATAATGAGTGTGATGTGTGAAGATCGATGGGTGGTGGGCCACGCCACTCGTCACACATGAGAATGGATTATATTATTTTACACATGTCAGATTTCTACGACTGCATTTTTTAACTGAGTAATTTGTAGAAAGTTTTTTCAACAGAATTTCATTTAAAAGCTGAGCTACATAGATTAGCCGAAATTTTTGAGTGAAAACTAGTCACCGACTTTTTGGCACAGGTGAAAGTATGACGCTATTCACAGATACATTTTTTATACTTAAAAAGACACGAAAGATAATTTTAGGAAGATGTGAATCTTCATTCAGATATTTCATCATTTCTTTCAAACCATACTTCCGAATTCTTTCATACTTCAGTGCACTGATTGATACTAAGCTTTTTATTAATAAATTTTTGACCGAAAAAGCTGATCATTTTGGGTATTTTTAACTTTAATTTTTAAGTGTTTATTATAAATGAAAATAACATGAAAGTACAGTTTCGTAATGATTGTGATTTATTTAATAATTATGTGTTTTATTTTTCAATTCGATGAATAATATAAATGAACTTTACAAAAAATTCACGAAAAAGTTTCAAAGACTATTTGATCTCCGAGAACAAATATTATCCTTTGCTATTTATTAAGATTCGGTTAATATTTAAACACTCGCCGTGAAAATGAATCATGGAATTTTTAAAGTGCACAACATTTTTTGGCACATTAACTGTTAAAAGGCCCGTAACACACAAATAGTCTTAACCCGAAAATATTAAAATTCAGTATTACTAGGAATCTCGGAGTATCTAGGAAATATCTTTTATTTGATTTCAATTTTTTTAAATAAAAAAAACATTATAAATTTTATTAATTTAGTTTGAAATAAAACTTTTTGTTTTCTTTTAAGGATTACAGAGCCGAGGAAAAAATTATAGATCGGTTTCCAAAATAAATACAGTCAAATTTTGAGAAGCATTAGAAAAATTTCGATTATAAACATGACTTCCATTTGACCGACATTCTCTTGTTAACTGGCTCTCAATATCATCTGTCACATACTTTATTAGAACATATTAATTATTTTTCAAATCAACATTGAAATCTGTGAACCTTCTCATTGTAATATCCTTTGAATGATTACCATTTTTTCACTTAATTATTTTTGTACGTTTAAAGTAGATGACTCGCGCAAATTAAGTTCAAAGCAATTTAAATCTAAAACGTTTTGGTAGTATGCTTTTCGTAGTTCAGCAAAAGGTACTTACAAATCTCACAATAAAATTATTATTTAAAAATTAATTATGAATTTCAACAGGATAATACTTTTTTGTAAATTTTAGTTTCATTTTTTGATGATAATAAGATTTGTTAAAAATTCGCTATGTAATTAGTAAAATTATACTTACTTTAAGAAATATTTTTTTTCCGAAAACTATCGATGTATTTTTTTTTAAATATTGTTATTATGATAATTCTGAAGACAATTTCTAAAATTTTGCATTGCACTTATTTATTATGTTTTTGAATTATCATAAAAATTGTTTAAAATTCTTTTTTTTATGTATATAGCATATAGAATTGATTTACAGAATATGAGGAGAAAAAAGTGTTGAAATATGAAGGGTATTTAAAATACATATATTACCTTTGGATTCATTCAGCATTCCCAAGCTTGATCATGAACACTTACATGTTCAAAAATTGAAAGTATTGACGTAAGTGAAAGTGTTCTTCACACGTCTGTGATTTTTTTTCACTCATTCACGTCTTTAAATTTGATAATAGTTACAATATAGAAAGTTATTACAGGGAGGATACATAATAATAAGTTTCGTATGACGTCAAAATAATTTTTCAGTTTAAAACTTATGCAATATCATTTCACGTTCAAAATTCCATTGAAGAAAAGACAACACAAATTAAGAAAATGTTAAGCCTTTGTCTAAAAAATTTGATGAGGGGTTTTGACCTTTAAATATATTCAAAAAAATATCTCCTTGCACTGAAGTAAAGCAGAATTTACGTTTTTAATTATAAACTAATTGTCACTTAAAAATTATGGTTTTGAAACAATTCAAAAAGTTTAAATATTTTGCCATTTTTATAAACTTTTCCAATGCAAAACTTACAAAATAAATTTTATTTGTGAAATTTGTTCAATCTAAAATAATCCATCTGTGAAATACTATACTTTTTATTCATTAAAACTAGAAAATTTTAGTAACGAAAATGACTATTTTATGAATATAATTACAATGGATTACACAGATTTTAAGAATTTTTTTGTCATTGAGTAAATAAATCAAAAATAATATTCTAAATTTTTTTTTCAAAAGAGATTTGTTATCTATTGTTAAAAGTGATTCAGCAGTTTTTCTGAAAATATCAAGTAGTGTAAAATATACTTTTATTACCGACATCAAATAACATTTACGAAAAGCCTAATCTAATTAGTTCAAATCCTAGTCGTACGGAAAATAGTCGTATCTAATTTTTACAGTAACACAACTGCAGGATTGAATTATTCGTAAATTTGAGAAATGTACATCATTTTTATTCATCACGTGATAAAATAGCAAGAGATTTCATGAAAAAAAATGTTTATCAGCGATTTGAGTTTTATTTATGCTGATGGTGACCACACAACAACTATCTTCAATTATAACCAATTAATATATCACTGTAATGCCTTACCAACCACCATCAACTAGCTAAAGATCAACCCGTAGGTGCTAATTATCTTCAGAAAAAATAGTCAATTAATGAAATAAATGTTATGACTTAATCTCTCATCATGAATAAGAGCGATCAATATAGTTACTCAGCTTATGGCGTGAAACTATCATCAGTAACAAAATAATATTTTTTTTAGTGATTAGGGTGAAAATTCATGAAAACTTTTATAGTTTTGATTAAAATTTTTTTTATTAAAATTAATGAATCGCAATGAGATGACTTATGAAAATCGCACATATGATATAACAAGATGATTCATTTAAATACTACTTATAGCTATAACAAAAGCGATGTTTTTTCGCATATCGCAAATAAATTTGAAGAAAAATTGTAGACTAGAATACAATTGATCTCCAAAATTTACAATAAATAATTTACATATAACTCTTAGTACACCTACAAGCCCTCAACTCATAATGTTTACAGTGTCAGTATAAAACTTGATGCGATGAATTAAACAGTCATATTCAAGTGAACGTTAGCCAGCTCAAATTTAAGTAAATCAGTCATTTGACCAGACTTCTAACTTGTTAAAACTTGGGTCCCACACTTTACACAATATCCGTAGTAACTTGAGTAAAAAAAAATTGAATTAAATCACAGAATAGTCACGTCACAGTCATAGTCAATTGTCGTCGTCGTCGTCGTCGTCGTCGTAGTCAATCGTCGTTGTAACTGTCAAGTCGGGCAACATTAGACGAGATTTTCGTCGCGCTCGAGTAAAGTCGTATACTCAACAGCGGAAGGAAAATCTTCGATGTGTCATGAATAAAATTGCCATCATGGCACTAAAGTATTTCTACTGCAGGTGTGAACTTATTGAGGTGGTACTTGTGCAGAGTAAGCCAGACTTTGGGCATAGGCAGCTGGTTCGTAGTTGTATTGTTGTTGGGCTAAGTTGTTCTTGGCGAAAAAGTCACCTGGGAATCCTCCAGCAATTCGGCTACCGGCACCGAAGAATTTTTGGTAGAGGAGTACTCCGGCAGCGAGGATGGCGATTTTGCTGACAAAGATGGCCTTGGTGACGAAGAGGGCAAGTCCACCAAGGAAGACTGGGGCAAGAGCGAGGAGCTTGACTCCGATGAGGGTCATCAAAGGAGACAACATTTTCTTGTATTTCTTGGTTGAGGAGAGCGAGAAGACTGTAAAAAAAAGAAAATTAGTAAAAGAAGACAAATTTACTTCAAAAAATGAAAAAAAACTATCAAAACTTACTATCATCGAAGGTGCGACCTTCTGACATATCGACCTTCAAGCTGTGGCTTTCGACGAGCTTGGCGGCATTATCGTACATCATGGTGGCAACAGCCATAGCTTTTTGGGTGGAATCGGCTGGCAATTCGGACATGATTTCGGACTCGGATTTCAATGCTTTTCCGGTGCGTTCGACTGAAATGTAACGAGTTAATATTAAAAAATTTTGCACAATTATAAAAGTGATTTAAATTAATTAAGATGAAAAAAAATATCAGATATTTACCTGGGGTGTCTCTGACGAGGGTGACTCCATCGATGAGGTTGATGTCAGCTGACCTGGCGGCCCTCTCGAGGGTTGCTGTGGCTTTGACGGCTAAGCAAGTCAACTGATCAGCTGACTCGTTGCAATCCAAGCCAGAGCTTGGGGCTGGTGTGGCAATGGCCGAAGCCACCAAAAGACCGAATACGACGTATTTGAACATTTTGATTTTACTCTGTGAAGCTGAGGTGCTGTTGTGTGCACGAACGAGAACCGAAATCGACTGATTTGGAATTTCGATTTCCCCGAGTATATATACGCGGTCCATAGGACCCCTTCTTCTAGCTCGTGTATTATGCGTGCGTCACACCTTACATGTTCGACACCTCACATGTACCTTACAACATCAGAATATTTCTATTGAGAAATACATTCAGTTAGTATGAATCAAGTAAATCTTTAGAAAATTATTTGAACGAAAAATAAATTTTATTGCGAGCAAATTTATCATGTTTGCCTCATGTTCGCCGAATTCATCCGCCACGGGGTTCATCTTGCGCGCGCGTGTCAAGCTTTCTCCGTATGAGCCTTGCACACATACTAGAGCTTACTTACACATGCGGGGGCCTGCTCTAACGTGTCGGTGCATGCTGAATAAATATTATACAATAATTAGATCTACGTTATTAGTTCATGACAGATAAATTTTTTAAGATTTTAAATCTTTTAAAATAAAGATTAGTAAACAGATTTTATTCAAATACTTCGTTCATGGTGCTTAAGAAGTTTGAGGTTTTCTAGCGAATTACCTGATTTTTATGTTTTGAGTATACTTTACATTTTTTAGGTAATTTTTAGTGAATAGTTGTTTAATTTCATTCGTAAAAAGTGTTAGATCTACAGAAACGATTTTTATCTACCCTGGATAATCTGCGAAATACCATTATATAAAGTTCAATTAAAGTATATAGTTCATTTTTCAGAATAATACAATTTTAATGTAATTTTAATATTTGAATAAATAAAATAATTAATGGTGATGTTAAATGATTATCTTTTGATAAAACTCACGTGTTGTCTTCACATAATTATGTATGTTGATTATGGAAAAATGTTCAAGAAAATATTCGATTGCAGTACAAAATGAACTATGAGTAATGAAGCCGTTCAAATTTTTAAATGCAGCTAGGAGCAGTTTGATTCATTAAAATCTAATTAATAGTATTTTTTGAGATTGTCTATTCGCAGTTCAAAATAAACCATGTTTGTATACCTACATATACCATATCACGTATGCGAGACAATAATTTTAAAGGTAATTTTGGAGCGCGATTAGACATTTTCATATTTTATATTCTATTTCTGCAAATAAACGAAATTGATTGATCGCATTTTAATAATTGGTATATGTTCGATGCGTAACCATGGCCACCAGGTAATCAATAATTGTTTATGTAAAAAGACGAGATTCGCCACTGTACTGAGCTAGCCTCACTAGAGAAACCGTCAACCGCTCTCGTGATAATAAAAATAAGTTTTAAAGCATAATTTTTACTTCAAGCCAAAAATAATTTGAAGACTCTCATCAAAAGATTTATTCAAGATTTTAAAAAGGCTCATAGTTTTGCTGGTAAGTCAGTCAATCAATTTTTAAATCCAGAACCGAATAAAATTTTTTTTTTAATAAAATGTAGTTTTCAAACATTAAAATATTTTAAAATTAGTTGCATACGTAATAATGATTTTTAATGAATATATTTCTCAATAGATATATTCTCATGTGACGTACATGTAAGGTGTGACGCACGCAAAGTACACAGGATAGAAGAAGGGGTCCTATGGACCGTGTATATAAACTGGGTGAAATCGAAATTCCAAATCAGTCGATTTCGGTTCTCGTTCGTGCACACAACAGCACCTCAGCTTCACAGAGTAAAATCAAAATGTTCAAATACTTCGTATTCGGTCTTTTGGTGGCTTCGGCCATTGCATCGCCAGCCCCAAGCACAGGCTTGGACTGCGACCATGTAGAAGATGCGCTGACTTGCCTGGCCGTCAAGGCCTCAGCAACCCTCGAGAGGGCCGCCAGGTCAGCTGACATCAACCTCATCGATGGAGTCACCCTCGTCAGAGACACCCCAGGTAAATATTTGGATAATTTTGTTTGTTCAAAATTTTAAGTTTGATTAATTTGAATAATTTTTACAATTTTACAACATTTTTTAATATAAAACTCGTTATGTTTCAGTCGAACGCACCGGAAAAGCATTGAAATCAGAATCTGAAATCATGTCTGAATTGCCAGCCGATTCCACCCAAAAAGCCATGGCTGTTGCCACCATGTTGTACGATAACGCCGCGAAGCTCGTCGAAAGCCACAGCTTGAAGGTCGATATGTCCGAAGGTCGCACCATCGATGACAACAGTAAGTTTCAATATTTTTTTCGTGTTGTACTACAGTTAGCGTAGTTGAATTTTTCTGATTTTCTAATTTCCTTAATTTTTTTACAGTCTTCTCGCTCGCCTCAACCAAGAAATACAAGAAAATGTTGTCTCCTCTGATGACCCTCATCGGAGTCAAGCTCTTCGCTCTTGCCCCAGTCTTCCTTGGTGGACTTGCCCTCTTCGTCACCAAGGCCATCTTCCTCAGCAAGGTCGCCATCCTCATCGCTGGAGTCCTCCTCTACCAGAAATTCTTCGGTGCCGCTAGCCATATCGCCGGAGGATTCCCAAATGACTTCTTCGCCAAGAACAACTTAGCCCAACAACAATACAACTACGAACCAGCTGCTGCCTACGCCCAAAATCTGGCTTACTCTGCACAAGCACCCACTCAATAAGTTCACATCTGCAGTAGAAATACTTTAGTGCCATGATGGCAATTTTATTCATGACACATTGAAGATTTTCCTTCCGCTGTGAGTATTCGACTTTACTCGAGCGCGACGAAAATCTCGTCTAATGTTGCCCGATTTGACGACAACAACGACGATTGACTACGACTGTGACGTGACTGTTCTGTGATTTTATCAAGTTTGTTTTATTAAAGTGACGATAGATATTGTGTTAAGTGTTTCAACCAAAGTTTTATCAAGTTCAAAGAGACGGACAAATGACTCACTTACTGACAATTTGAGTTGGCTGACATTATTTGAATACGACTGTGTAATTCATTGCATCGAGTTCCATACTGACACTGTAAATGAAATGAGCTTAGTGCTAGTGATAGATAAGTTAATTAGGCATTATGAATTTTGGAGTTCAGTTGCATTTTAGTCTGCAATTTTTCTCTGAATTCATCTGCGATGATCGAAATATCGTCGCTTTTGTTATAGTTGTAAGTAGTGTTTTATATGAATCATCTTGTTATATCATATGTACGATTTCCATACATCATTTCATTGCGATTCATCAATTTTAATAAAAAAAAATGTCATTAAAAAAATACAATTTTTTATGATTTTTACCCTAATCACCAAAAATAAAACATTATTTTATTACTCTCGATATTGTTATGTCGTAACAATCGATTAAATAAGCATCTGACTCGTACATTTTTGAGCAAATACTTGCGTACTTACTACCCTCAAAATGTTTCTATCCCTGGATCATTGTATTAGATGCCTGTTATTTTTCTCCGTCGATTTCAAATTTTACCATACTACTTTCGTATTTCAAGCTATATAACATAAATATTTCAACATGAATAATTTCTCTTATAGATACAGAATGTACAGAATTATAATTTTTCATAAATTAAGTACGAACATTTTTCACGTAGCTTTTTTACTTGAAATTTAAATTTCTTATTTAAACAAATGGAAGATTATGCGATGCTATGTGTATGCCAAGAAAACAACGTAGATTTTTTTAGAGAATTGTTCGGATTAAAAAGGCAACTCATAAAAAAATGTATGTTACAAAGCTTGAAATAACTCCTAAAAAGCCATGCATGAGAGTATTTTTAAAAACTTGAATTTTATTCGTTTCGGAAAACGCAAATACCTCATACGAGGAGTTATTTATTTTTTTCAAATTTAAAGTTTAATTTTCTTCAACATGACTCAAATTTTAACACTCTTATATTGATTAGCATATTAGCGTAACACACATGCTCTTCAAGCTGGAGTGAAATTCGAAATCGACCAAACAAAAAAAAAAGAAATCCGATCAGGGTTCCGAGAGGTAAAAATGTCGTAAGAAATAGAGAGTACGCAAGTTTTGGCCTGAAAATGTACAAGTAAGATTCGTGGGCTACATGGATGACACAGGAACTAGTTTGCATCATATTTTACCCCGTTTAAGCTCATTCATTCAGGCACTGACCACGCTCGTGATTTTGCACTGATCGCTGGCAAAACTACCAGTGATTTAAGAAAAATAATTTACCATTTATTCAAAAACCATTTCATATATTCTATCCGATGATATATTTTGTTTATACTGAAAAAAAATTGATACTTGCCACGCCAAGCGTTTTTCCAGATCGTCCTCGCATAATAATTTATATTGATTTTGAGGAAAAATATTTTGGAGTATTATGTTGAAATTTCGAGTTAGAGATATACACTAAATGAAAAATGATAGGTGCAGAAAACGTGCTTTGAAGCCCGGAAAACGTCGCGTGCGGCTATTCTCAATGAATCCTGTTACCCCAATCAAACTATCTAGAGAAGATTTACAACGCGGGATGACAAACTGACGATTATAGAGAATATCTTAACTAAAATAAGACAATGAGCTAAATTTGAATTTGACAGCATTGTATAACCCCACAAATGAATTTTTTCAAAAATTCATTTATAATTAAACATAAGGGGAAATAATATATCGATAAGCATGTTAGAAAAGGGTTTCCAAAGAAACTTGTGATTGGCCAGTTATCAAGAGAAATTGCGATCAGTACAAATATTTGCATGCACACGTCTGAATGATTCAAGTTGGACACGATCTCTCGTATCAATTTCAAGCCAATTAATAAAAACCAAAAGTGTCCTGATTCGAACTCCAATCTTGAATAAATTACTTAATAGTTACGAGTAAATAAATAATATATTGTTTTCGGTAATAAGGGTCAAAATCCATTAAATGTATCGAAGTTTTAATTTGATATTTTTTTATTAAAAATAATGAATCGCAATGAAATGATTTATGAAATCGCACATATGATATAACAAGATGATTCATTTAAATACTACCTACAACTACAAAGAAAGCGACGATGTTTCGCATATCGCCAATAAATTTAGAGAAAAATTGCAGAATAATGTGCAACTAATCTCAAAATTTACAATAAATAATTTAAAATTTTTTTTAGTACACGCACTAGCCCTCAGCTCATTTTGTTGACAGCATTAGTATAAAACTCGATGCAATGAATTACACAGTCGTATTCTAGTAAATGTTAGCCATCCGAAATTCTTAGTAAATCAGTCACTTGATCGTCACTTGGAACTTGATAAAACTTTGGTTAAAACACTTAATACGATATCTGTCTTCAATTAAATAAAAAGAAAATTGATTAAATCACAGAACAGTCACGTCACAGTCGTAGTCTAAAGTCGTTGTTGTCAATTGTCGGGCAACATTAAACGAGATTTTCGTCGCGCTCGAGTAAAGTCGTATACTCAACAGCGGAAGGAAAATCTTCAATGTGTCATGAATAAAATTGCCATCATGGCACTAAACTATTTCTACTGCAGGTGTGAACTTATTGAGCAGGTGCTTGTGCGGAGTAAGCGAGTTGCTGAGCATCCAAAGATCTCTGGTATCCAGTGAATGCACCAGCTTGGGCATAGGTGGCTGGTTCGTAGTTATATTGTGGGGCGACGTTGTTCTTGCCGAAAAGACCACCTGGGAAGGCGATTTGGCTACCAGCGCCGAAGAATTTTTGGAAAAGAAGGACTCCAGCAATGAGGATGGCGACTTTGCTAAGGAAGATGGCTTTGCCGACCAAGAGAGCCAATTTGCCGAGGACAATTGGAGCAAGAGCGAAGACTTTGAGGCCGATGAGGGACAGCAGAGGAGATAACCGTTTCTTGTGCTTCTTGCTTGGGGTGAGGTGGGAGTGCGAGAAGACTGTAAAAAATTGCAAAATATTAGCAAATGATTTTCATTCAAAACATTTTAGTACACTGTAAAAAAAAATTATTGAAACTTACTTTTGTCGTCGATGGTGCGAGCTTCTGACATATCGACCTTCAAGCTGTGGCTTTGAAGGAAGTTGGCAGCATTTTCGTACATCATGGTGGCGACAGCCATGGCTTTTCCAGTGGTATCAGCTGGCAATTCAGACATGATTTCAGATTCGGATTTCAATGCTTTTCCGGTGCGTTCGACTGAAACATAACGTGTTAATATTAATAAATGTTGCTAATTTATAATAATAATTAAATATTGGCAAACAAAAAATTTTGAATGAATAAAATTGTTGGATATTTACCTGGGGTGTCTCTGACGAGGGTAACTCCATCGATGATTTCGATGTCAGCTGACCTGGCGGCCCTCTCGAGGGTAGCGGCAGCCTTGACGGCTAAGCAAGTCAGCTGATCATCTGACACGTTGCAATCTAAGCCAGAGCTTGGGGCTGGTGTGGCAATGGCAGAAGCCACCAAGAGACCGAATACGACGTATTTGAACATTTTGTTTATTTACTCAGTGAAGCTGAGGTGCTGTGGTGTACTCAAACGAGAACCGAAACCGACTGATTTGGAATTTCGATTTGCCCGAGTTTATATACCTCTGGACCAGTGGACCCCTACTTTTATCTTGTGTCTTTGTGTGGGTCACACCTTTGTACGCAACATCCGAATATGTCACTCTCACGCGTCTTTGTTTCAAGTTTTGTCAGCATACACTTCCTCCGTTAATTTCTCGGACAAACTTCTTAAGAAAAAAGAGTTTTACCTATGGGAGGGGAAAAAGAGTACCTCAGCGAATCATTAGCCTGTTTAACGAAATTGTCCAATGATAAGTATGTGTGTAGATCGACTGGTGGTGGATCATCCCACTCATAACCCAAGAGAATTTACTATATTATGTTACACATGTCTGATTTCTAGGACTGCATTTTTTAACAGAGTTATTTGTAGAAAGTATTTTGAACAGACTTCCGTTTACAGCTTGAAAAAATGAACGCTATGTCAGGATAAATATACATATTCATAAAATGCCATTTAATGAATGAACAATGTTTAAGAAAATGATTTTTTTGTAAAGTACATACATTTTTCACCAAGAAAACAATTTGGTTTAGTCTATTGAATATGAAAATCAAAAAAAGGAATACATGTAAAATTAATGTGCGCTCCTCTGAAAAGATTATTTTACCAATTAGATCTTTTTTCCTATGAAAAAAAAAAAATTTTATTTGTGGTGAATAAATGTAAATGATTGTTATACCAAAACTCCCATTGATTATATGTTCAAATATTTAATAGATTTGAAAAACTCATATCATAGCCTCAATTAAATAAATTTTATTATTTACATGTATAAAACTCTAAAAAGTTGAATAGTTCAAAATAAATATGAAGTTGGATCATTTACATATTTGTACAAATACAGTTTTCATATTAAATAGATAATATTTTAATCCAATTTTAAATTTAAATTATTAAAAAATTAACGTTAATTCAATCCAAAGACAAAACTACGGTTAAGAAAAACATGTATTTCTGACGATTTTTGACTAGTATTTACATTATAAATATCCCTACATTATACATTTTATTGCTCGTTTGAGTCGATGAAGATGCCGTGATTTAATCTACGCACTACCAGACCACTCCACTTTTGTTTGTTTTGTTTCTTTTTATCCAACGACAAAACTGTAATGTTCCAACGTATCCAATAAAATAACTTCAAAAATACTCTTACTTTCGATCGATATCTTTGAGCCTCCTTAAAATTAATGCCAATTATTTTATAGTTTTTTTTTTACCAAGAATTAGCATAACAATATTTTCGTGTGCATAATAATAGTACTTGCACACGAAAAAATCAGAAATTAGATTTTATACCTCATTCTGACTGTTAGTTGAAAATGTCGGTTTTTGAAAAAAATTATATCTTTCAATTTTATAGGGTTTCATTATATATTACAATATATTTACCTATGACATTACAACTTTCATACAAAAATCTGTCAATTTTATGACGTTGCTGAGATTTTTAACAAATAAAAAGTTTTGAAATAAAAAGAAATGATCGTTTCATGCAAATAAAAAAAAAACTATTGTGACTCAATCTTTCCTAGCGAATAAGATCAATCAATGATTATTGGTAGTTGGTAATATGTCGTTGTTGGTTAAGGGTTGGAAAATGGGTAAAAAGCATGAGAAATTTGATAATTTTCAATAAATTTTTTTTTATTAAAGTCAATAAACTGCAATGAAATGATTTATGGATATCGCACATATGATATAATAAGATGATTCGCATTAAACACTAGTTATAACTATAACAAAAGCGATGTTATTTCGCTCATCGCAGATGAATTTGGAGAAAAATTGTTGACTATTATACAATTAATCTCCAAAATTACAATGAATAATTATAATATTTTTTTAGTACACGCACTAGTCCTCAGCACATTATGTTTACACTCTCAGTTATAAAACTCTATGCGATGAATTACACAGTCGTATTCACACTTTTTCCAAATTATCAGAAAATCAGTCACTTGATGTCACTTTAGTCACTTTGAACTTGTTTAAACTTTGGTTAAAACACCTAACACAATGTCAGTAGTCACTAGTGTAAAAAAAACTTGATAAAATCACAGAACAGTCACAGTTGTAGTCAATTGTCGTTGTCGTCGTCGAGTCAGGCAACATTGGACGAGATTTTCGTCGCGCTCGAGTAAAGTCGAATACTCACAGCGGAAGGAAAATCTTCAATGTGTCATGAATAAAATTGCCATCATGGCACTAAAGTATTTTTACTGCAGGTGTGAACTTATTGAGGTGGTACTTGTGCGGAGTACGCCAGATTTTGGGCATAGGCAGCTGGTTCGTAGTTGTACTGTTGGGCTACGTTGTTCTTGCCGAAGAGACCGGCACCTGGGAATCCACCAGCGAGTTGGCTACCAGCACCGAAGAATTTTTGGAACAGAAGGACTCCGGCGATCAGGAGGGCGACTTTGCTAAAGAAGATGGCTTTGCCAACCAAAAGAGCCAATTTACCGAGGACAATAGGAGCAAGAGCGACGACTTTGAGGCCGATGAGAGACAGCAGAGGAGACAACAATTTCTTGTGCTTCTTGCTTGGGGTGAGGTGGGAGTGCGAGAAGACTGTAAAAAATGGCAAAAAATTAGCAAATGATTTTCCTTCAAAATATTTTAGTACAATGTAAAAAAAAATTATTGAAACTTACTTTTGTCGTCGATGGTGCGAGCTTCTGACATATCGACCTTCAAGCTGTGGCTTTGGAGGAAGTTGGCGGCATTTTCGTACATCATGGTGGCGACAGCCATGGCTTTTCCAGTGGTATCAGCTGGCAATTCGGACATGATTTCAGATTCGGATTTCAATGCTTTTCCGGTGCGTTCGACTGAAACAAAACAAGTAAATATGAAAAAATATTTTCGCAATTGTAAAAATGATTTAAATTAATTGAGATAAAAAAAAAATCAGATATTTACCGGGGGTGTCTCTGACGAGGGTAACTCCATCGATGATTTCGATGTCAGCTGACCTGGCGGCCCTCTCGAGGGTAGCGGCGGCCTTGACGGCTAAGCAAGTCAACTGATCATCTGACTCGTTGCAATCCAAGCCAGAGCTTGGGGCTGGTGTGGCAATGGCAGAAGCCACCAAGAGACCGAATACGACGTATTTGAACATTTTGTTTTTTTACTCAGTGAAGCTGAGGTGCTGTGGTGTACTCAAACGAGAACCGAAACCGACTGATTTGGAATTTCGATTTGCCCGAGTTTATATACCTCTGGACCAGTGGACCCCTACTCCTATTATTTCACTTTGTCTGCGTCAAATCTATGTACGCAACATCCGAATATGTCATGCGCACGCGTCTACATTTCGGGTCCAGTACAGATACACTTCTTTCGTCAATTTCTCCGACAAATTTCTCCTAGGAAAAAGACTGAGGAGGGGCAAAAGAATATTTTGCCTTCAGCTCGCGTTGTAATCTCTCGTTTTGCTAAAATACCAATACTGCATCTGTTGAAAAATGTACTAAATTAAGTTTTGTTCCTTCCATAGCTGAAACTCAAAACATGATACTATCAGTTTCTTTGTGAAAAAGTCGGAATTATATTTTAATAATTTTTCCAAAATTAACCATATTTTTTTTCTTCATATCATGCTTGAATTTATGGACCCACATCTCTGATTTGGGGATGAAAGTAACACTTTTACTTCCTGTCAATATCATGCGAAAGTAATTATCTCCATGACTAAGTTAACCGTCTGTAAAATAGGTAAATTGTATTGATTTATTTGATTTCATGTTTGACGTATTCGATAGCTATTAAAATGCCAACAATTGAATAACGTATAAAAATTTAACAGTATCGTAGTTTTACGTACTCAGTCCACTACATTCAATTTCAATCCGACTTGCAAACGTATAAATAAACTCTTTACAATTATAAGGGTTACCTTTAGTCATTCGCTTTGCTACTTCCCAGCTCAAATTGAATAATATACTTAATTTAAATTTTCAAAATTTCACACAATAAATGTTTGATTGAATGCTACTTCGAATCAAGTAAAACTTTTAAGTGAGTAACCAACTATAACACTCATAATCATTAGGAATATATTAAAATCAAAATATATTGAAAACTTATCGACGGTAAACGCAAAAAGAAAAAATATGATACTAATACTTTCATTCGTATACTTTACGGGGCCGTTTGTACAATATTGATATCATATTAATCTAAAATCATTTATAAATATTAAATAATTATATTAGTCATTTGCTAATAAACGGTACTGACGATATTTGATGCATAACCCGTCCTCGACCAGCAGCTCTCGCTGCAGTCGGGACTCAAATGTCGGCGGGCTTTGCCATATAAGTGTATATTGATAAATAAAAATTTTTTTAATAAAATATATCATAACTATTTCAATCAAATATACTTTCGAGCTTGGGTAAAGTAAATTCGATATCTGAAGTGAGTATAATAATGTCAACTAAATATTAAATAAAATTCTTTTCCGTCCATAAAACGAACTATAAGTAAGATACTATCGCATATTCATTGTGAAAAAGTGCAAATTATTTTTCATAGATTCCCTTAAACTCAACGAAATTATTTGTAAGTCTTATCTAATATTTTTATGAAGCGTCAAATTTACTAATTGAATCTTACGAAACATATCGTAGCATTTAAGAACATGATATTCGATAAAATTGAATATCTATTCATGATAAAAGATATTAATATTGGGCCCCACAGCAATCATTTATTTCGTTACATAGAATAAAAATTCTATCATTCAATAAATAATTTTGAATCTCTTTAAAATGAATGCCAATTATTTTATAAACGTTTTGTTACCTGGCATCATGATAAAAATGTTCACGGGTGCATAAAAATAACACTTGTCATTTTCATCTAACAGTCAGAATCAGAAATAAAGTCTCATTTTTTATCTTTTCGCTAACGATTTTTGAAAATAATTCACTATTTCCATTTTCTAGGATTTTATTACATCTTTTACTGTTACCTTACAAATTCCTTGCAGAAATCTGTCAATTTAATGACGTTGCTGAGATGTTTCAGAAATATAAAGTTTTAAAAGAAAAATATAAAATTTTCAAGCCTAGAGTGCATCTTAATTGTTTGAATCAGTAACACAATCCTCGTGAATAAAATCTATCAATGATTATGAGTGATTAAGGAAAATAATGTTTTTGGTAAGGGGTTGGAAAAAGGGTAAAAAGAATGAAAAATTAATAATTTAAAAAATTTTTTTTTATTAAAGTCAATGAATTGCAATGATATGATTTATGGATATCGCACATATGATATAACAAGATGATTCGCATTAAACACTAGTTATAACAATAACAAAAGCGATGTTACGTCGCTCATCGCAGATAATATTTGTATTAGTTGTGATAATAATTGTAGACTATTGTACAATTAATCTCCAAAACTACAATGAATAATTAAAATATTTTTTTGTACACGCACTATTCCTCAGCACATTATGTTTACACTCTCAATTATAAAACTCTATGCGATGAATTACACAGTCGTATTCACGCCTATTCAAATTTTCGGTAAAACAGTCACTTGATTAGTCACTTATAGTCACTTTGAACTTGTTTAAACTTTGGTTAAAACACCTAACACAATATCACTAGTCACTAGTGTGAAAAAAAACTTGATAAAATCACAGAACAGTCACAGTTGTAGTCAATTGTCGTTGTCGTCGTCGAGTCAGGCAACATTGGACGAGATTTTCGTCGCGCTCGAGTAAAGTCGTATACTCAACAGCGGAAGGAAAATCTTCAATGTGTCATGAATAAAATTGCCATCAAGGCACTAAAGTATTTATACTGCAGGTGTGAACTTATTACGATGGAATTAGTGGAGAGTAAGCCAGATTTTGGGCATAGGCAGATGGTTCGTAGTTGTACTGTTGGGCTACGTTGTTCTTGCCGAACAGACCGGCACCTGGGAATCCACCAGCGAGTTGGCTACCAGCACCGAAGAATTTTTGGAACAGAAGGACTCCAGCGATCAGAAGGGCGACTTTGCTGAAGAAGATGGCTTTGCCAACCAAAAGAGCCAATTTGCCGAGGACAATTGGAGCAAGAGCGAAGACTTTGAGGCCGATGAGGGACAGCAGAGGAGACAACAATTTCTTGTGCTTCTTGCTTGGGGTGAGGTGGGAGTGCGAGAAGACTGTAAAAAATGGCAAAAAATTAGCAAATGATTTTCCTTCAAAATATTTTAGTACAATTAAGAAAAAATTTATTGAAACTTACTTTTGTCATCGATGGTGCGAGCTTCTGACATATCGACCTTCAAGCTGTGGCTTTGGAGGAAGTTGGCAGCATTTTCGTACATCATGGTGGCGACAGCCATGGCTTTTCCAGTAGTATCAGCTGGCAATTCAGAAATGATTTCAGATTCAGATTTCAATGCTTTTCCGGTGCGTTCGACTGAAACAAAACAAGTAAATATGAAAAAATATTTTCGCAGTTATAATAATGATTTAAATTAATTGAGATGAAAAAAAAATATCAGATATTTACCTGGGGTGTCTCTGACGAGGGTAACTCCATCGATGATTTCGATGTCAGCTGACCTGGCGGCCCTCTCGAGGGTAGCGGCAGCCTTGACGGCTAAGCAAGTCAACTGATCATCTGACTCGTTGCAATCCAAGGCAGAGCTTGGGGCTGGTGTGGCAATGGCCGAAGCCACCAAAAGACCGAATACGACGTATTTGAACATTTTGTTGATTTTACTCAGTGAGGCTGGGGTGCTGTGGTTTACTCAAACGAGAACCGAAACCGACTGATTTGGAATTTTGATTTGCCCGAGTTTATATACCTCTGGACCAGTGGAACCCTACTCCTATTTTTTCACTTTGTCTGCCGCAAATCTATGTACGCAACATCCGAATATGTCATGCGCACGCGTTTACATTTCAGGTCCAGTACAGATACACTTCTTTCGTCAATTTCTCCTACAAATTTCTCCTAAGAAAAAGAGTGAGAAGGGGCAAAATAATATTTTAGCCATTTTGCCTTTAGCTCGTGTTGTAATCTCTCGTTTTGGTAAAATACCAATACTGCATCCGTTGAAAAATGTACTAGATAAAGTTTTGTTTCGTCCACAGCAGAATCTCAAAATATGTATGCTATCAGTTTTTTTTGGGAAAAAGTTGGAATTATATTTTAAAAATTCTTTTCAAATTAAAGTAATATTTTTTGAACTTCGACAAATAGTTTGATGGAGCATTGGATTTATCATCTGAATTTAAGAAAAATTCAGTTGTACTAAAATACTATAATATTCCATAAAATTAAATATTTGTTAAACAATAAAATATTAACGAAAAAACATTCATGAATTTATTAAAAAAAAAATTCAATTTAAAAATTAGGAAATAATTTGTTTCTTAAATTAAATGAATATTAATTTTACACATTTTTTTGATAAAGGCATCAATCTACTATGAAAATTGAATGTTTCTCTATGATTAAAAGAAATAAATATTAGGCCTGAGGATTAAATTATTTCGTTCGATCGAACAATAACTTTTATATTAAATTTTTCTTTTTTCTCAGTGTAAAATAAGTTATCATTGAGCGCCTGACACAAAAATTAACCGGCTTAATTACATGACTTTGACTTATTTCAAAATTATTGTTAATTGATTGATCGGAGTTAGTGTAACAAACATTATCAAGAAAATATAAGGCATCTTTATAAAACTTCTCGTCCCTTACAAAGGAGAAAAGATCAAATTTTATATTTCATTCAATTTGTCAGTTTAAAATCACAGTTTGCTCAAAACAAATGATTCAATTTTATCAGGATTTTATTATCTCTTTTAATATATGATAATCTGTAATGAGATTTTAAAATACTGTGCTACATTTGTATACAAATGGACATGCTTCTGCAACTATTATAACTTCTATTCTGACAATTATAAAAAAATGTTATTTGAATGACGTTGCTGAGCTGTTCAAGAAATAAAAAGTTTCGATAAACAAGTATGACATTATTGAGCCCAAACACTCATTACTGTTTTCAATGAGTGAATAAGTGATTTTCATGAAAATGAATGAGATGAAAGGTTTTATGACTGGAACTTCCGTCGTGAATAAAATCAATTGATGATTATAAGTAATTTGAAAATATATGGTTTTTGGTAAAAAAGGGTAAAAATCACGAGTAATTTTATATTTTTGAATAAATATTTTATTAACATGAAATGAATCGTAATGAAATGATTGACGAAAATGGCACATATGATATAACAAGATGATTCATTTAAATACTACTTATAACTATAACAAAATCGATGCTTTCCACTTATCGCAGATGAATTTAGAGAAAAATTGTAGACTAATACACAATTGATCTCCAAATTTACAATAAATAATGCACATCTTTTCTCTGTACACGCACTACCCCTCAGCTCATTTCGTTGACAACATTAGCATAAAACTCGATGCGATGAATTACACAGTCTTATTCACGCCTATTCAAATTTTCGGTAAAACAGTCACTTGATTAGTCACTTATAGTCACTTTGAACTTGTTAAAACTTTGGTCAAATCACTCAACACAATATCTATCGTCACTTTCATGAAAAAAACTTTACAAAATCACACAACAGTCACGTCACAGTCGTAGTCAATGGTCGTCGTCGTCGTCAAGTCAGGCAACATTGGACGAGATTTTCGTCGCGCTCGAGTAAAGTCGTATACTCAACAGCGGAAGGAAAATCTTCAATGTGTCATGAATAAAATTGCCATCATGGCCCTAAAGTATTTCTACCGTAGATGTTAACTTATTGAGCGGGTGCTTGAGTGGAGTAAGCGAGTTGCTGAGCATCCAAAGATCTCTGGTATCCAGCAGAGTATGCACCAGCTCCAGCCTGGGCATAGGTGGCTGGTTCGTAGTTGTATTGTGGGGTGACGTTGTTCTTTCCGAAGAGACCACCTGGGAATCCACCGGCGAGCTGGCTAGCAGAGCCAAAGAATTTTTGGAAGAGGAGGACTCCAGTAATCAAAAGGGCGACTTTGCTGAAGAAGATGGCTTTGCCGACTGCGAGTGCGAGTTTACCCAAGAAGAAGGGGGCGAGAGCGAAGAGCTTGACTCCGATGATGGAAAGCAGAGGAGACAACAATTTCTTGTGCTTCTTGCTTGGGGAGTGGTGCGAGTGCAAGTGCGAGTGCGAGTGCGAGAAAACTATAAAAATTGGCAAAAATTAATGAATAGGAAAATTTTACTATATAAAGTAGTATTTCCTTACAAAAATACAACGCCAAATAAATTAATGAAACTTACTGTCGTCGACGTCGAGGTGGCGAGCTTCTGACATATCGACGTTCAAACTGTGGCTTTGGAGGAAGTTGACGGCGTTATCGTACATCATGGTGGCAACAGCCATGGCTTTTTCGGTGGAATCAGCGGGCAATTCGGACATGATTTCAGATTCTGATTTCAATGCTTTTCCGGTGCGTTCGACTAAAACATAACGAGTTAAAATTAATAATGTTGCTAATTTGTAATAATAATTAAAAATTGTCAAGCTTAAAATTTTGAATGAATAAAATTGTTAGATATTTACCTGGGGTGTCTCTGACGAGGGTAACTCCATCGATGATTTCGATGTCAGCTGACCTGGCGGCCCTCTCGAGGGTAGCGGCAGCCTTGACGGCTAAGCAAGTCAGCTGATCATCTGACTCGTTGCAATCCAAGCCAGAGCTTGGGGCTGGTGTGGCAATGGCCGAAGCCACCAAGAGACCGAATACGACGTATTTGAACATTTTGTTTTTTACTCAGTGAAGCTGAGGTGCTGTGGTGTACTCAAATGAGAACCGAAACCGACTGATTTGGGACTTGATTTGCTCGAATATATATACCTCTGGACCATTGGACCCCTACTCCTAGATTGTGTCACTTGCGTGCTTTACACCTATGTAAGAATCTATTTACAGCATCCGAATGTACGAATGGAGAAATACATTTATAAAAAGTTAGTTGTAGTAATCAACAAATTATTTGGAATTCTTTATCATTGCAGAAAAAATGTATTATTATGTTTCTATTGATAAGACTTAAGGTTTATATGTTAACATACATTTTTGATTTTTCTAAATTTTTCAATGTGAAAAATGCGGCATAATTACAAAATATCATACTCGATTTTATCTTAATTATCTGGCTAATGTTTTCAAGAAACAAAAAGTGTTGTTAACAAAGTACAGTATGTTTATGTAGAGAGTATTGAATAATGGTTTTTAGGAATCTGAAAATTTTCAGGTAAGTTAATTTGATCATAATTGTATCCACTTAAATAATAATCTTTATCTGTCCATTGGTACTCATCACAAATACTTATTCAAAATATTTTAGTAGTTGCATTAAAAAATTATTCTTATTTCTAGTTATTTTTTAAAAATAAAATCATTTTACTCATTAAATTTCGATAAAAAAATTTCACTCATTTTTAAGATAGTACAACGATTAATAATGAGTAGATACAAATAAATACAAAATATTGTTGGTTTTAAATTGTTTGTTAACAAAGATGTGAAAGCTATACTTATAAAACTTTGAACAGCTTATCAAATTTTAGTTTATTTTCGATTACGTTTGATTTTTTTATTGAGGTAAAGAATGGATTAAGCATATAATTTTGTATTAATCGATAATAAATAAAAAAATTAAATGAAAATAATATTTAATCATTATTTTCAAAAAACACTGATTTGTGGCTTCATTCTAATTTGCATATATGAAAGTCTTCCGGTAAATTTTAGTACACGAATTTCAGAGTATCACAGCTGGCAAATTGCGATTTGTATACATAATCTACAACATTATTTACCATAAGGTGAATATATATAAAAATTGTCCTCACTATTTTTCACTTGAAAATTCAAATTACAATTTTTTTAATTCATATACATTACAGATAGTATCCATAGGCCCTATTGTGGCGGAGTTAAGGAATCTTTAGCTTGAATAAAAAATGCATTCCTTGTTATGAGATACCTGATAAGCCTAAGGTGCGGATCTTATTTTAGCTTGGGTACTTCATCATTTAAAATATTTTCTAAAAAAAAATAAATTCGTTTTTTTGAAACCGAATATCATAAAAATTCTGTCATTCTGCTCCGTAAGGTGTACTGTTATCTTTTACGGCGTACACATATACCTATTGTCGCGTAGAGAAATTTCGCTCAGAAAAAAATTCGAATCTTAATACTCGCTAATTAATTTGCATAATGGCGTGACACACATACTTTTCGACCAGTTGTAAAATTCAAAATCAATGAAGCAAAATAGGGCATATTGAGATTGATGTCTCGAAAGATATAAATGTCGTAAAGTAAGAGAGTAAGCAAGTTTTTTGCTAAAAAATGTACACGCGACGTTATTCATCTCAACTGCGAGAACTCAAAAACTATGTCAAATCAGAACCGATTGATCAAAAACCTTCTACCATTTACTGAACAGAGCAAATGACTTCCGATGCAAGTGATTGATTATTCTTAAGTAAACGAATGATGAGTAGCATCATTACAGTATTTAGATTAAAAAGATGAAAAAATTTTTTTTTGAATATCAGACGTAACTTTGGCTAGTTTAGTTCATAAAAAAATTGATTACATTGTAAGAGTACCATAGATCTTTTTTGCTAAGCATTTAACAAATTTAAGGTGTATGTCGCTGGATTCCATCAATCGTGTGATTCAATTTTCCACCATAAGGTCTCATTTTCTGAATAGACATTTAGCCATGAAGGCAACTATATGGTAATTCGAATCAACTTTGATTACTTGTGTGAACAATGAAGTGCGGATTTGAAAAAAAAATTGTTTATGTGAATTCTATTGCTTATTGATGAGTGACCGTAATTGTAAATACTTAATTTTATTCGCAAAAATTGTTAATGACATACATTTTTCTCGAAAAATGGACTATAGTACCCGTAGAAAACCATACGTAGCTTTTGCTTATGTGACAATTTAGATAGCAAATATATTTTTTCTTACTTTATTTTAATTTAAATAATATTAGTATTCTTCAAAAAATTCAGAAAATAATATACGTTCTGAACAATTTGTATTTGGTTTGTGTGGCGCAGGATTTTGAAATAATGAATCAACCTTAATGGATGCTGGGCTAATTTAAATAAATAAAAGGACTAATAACATATTTTCCGATATCAGAACTTATGAAAATACAATTTAACATCATGAACAAAATATCCACAGGATTCAATATAGGTTTATCTCCTACATTGTTAAGATTAATTGAATAACATATTTTTGATGGTAGGTAGGATAAAAGTCATAACAAATTTTATATTTTTGAATGATTTTTTTTATTAACATGAAATGAATCGCAATGAAATGATTTATGAAAATCGCACATGTAATATAACAAGATGATTCATTAGAATACTACTTATACCTATAACAAAAGCAATGTTTTTTTTTAACATCGCCGATAAATTTGGCGATAAATTGTAGACTTATTATACAATTAATCTCCAAAATTTACTATTAATAATTTACATATTACTTCAAGTACACGCACTAGCCCTCAGCTCATTAAGTTTACAGTCTCAGTAATAAAACTCGATGCGATGAATTAAACAGTTGTATTCACGCCTATTCAAATTTTCAGTAAAACAGTCAGTTAATCGTCACTTTAAACTCGTTAAAACTTTGGTCAAATCACTTAACACAATATCTGTCGTCACTAGTGTAAAAAAAACTTGATTAAATCACAGAACAGTCACGTCACAGTCGTAGTCAATCGTCGTTGTAACTGTCAAGTCGGGCAACATTAGATGAGATTTTCGTCGCGCTCGAGTAAAGTCGTATACTCAACAGCGGAAAGAAAATCATCAATGTGTTATGAATAAAATTGCCATCATGGCACTAAAGTATTTCTACTGCAGATGTGAACTTATTGAGCAGGTGCTTGAGTGGAGTAAGCGAGTTGCTGAGCATCCAGAGATCTCTGGTATCCAGCAGAGTATGCACCAGCTCCAGCCTGGGCATAGGTGGCTGGTTCGTAGTTGTATTGTGGGGTGACGTTGTTCTTTCCGAAGAGACCACCTGGGAATCCACCGGCGAGCTGGCTAGCAGAGCCAAAGAATTTTTGGAAGAGGAGGACTCCGGTGATCAGGAGGGCGACTTTGCTGAAGAAGATGGCTTTGCCGACTGCGAGTGCGAGTTTACCCAGGAAGAAGGGGGCTAGTGCGAAGACCTTGAGTCCGATGATGGAGAGCAGAGGAGACAACAGTTTCTTGTGCTTCTTGCTTGGGGAGTGGTGCGAGTGCAAGTGCGAGTGCGAATGCGGTAAGACTGTAAAAAGTTGCAAAAAATTAGTAAATAAGAAAATTTTACGATAAAAAAATTTATAACAATATGGTAAAAAATTATTGAAGCTTACTGTCATCGACGTCGAGGTGGCGAGCTTCTGACATATCGACGTTCAAGCTGTGGCTTTGGAGGAAGTTAGCGGCATTTTCGTACATCATGGTGGCAACAGCCATGGCTTTTTGGGTAGAATCAGCTGGCAATTCGGACATGATTTCGGACTCGGATTTCAATGCTTTACCGGTACGTTCGACTGAAACACAACGAGTTAGTATTAAAAAATGTTGCACAATTGAAAAAACAATTTAAATAAATCGAGATCAGTATTTTGAATGAAGAAAAGTATTTAATATTTACCTGGGGTGTCTCTGACGAGGGTGACTCCATTGATGATTTCGATGTCAGCCGACCTGGCGGCCCTCTCGAGGGTAGCGGCAGCCTTGACGGCTAAGCAAGTCAGCTGATCATCTGACTCGTTGCAATCCAAGCCAGAGCTTGGGGCTGGTGTGGCAATGGCCGAAGCCACCAAAAGACCGAATACGACGTATTTGAACATTTTGTTTTTTTACTCAGTGAAGCTGAGGTGCTGTGGTGTACTCAAAAGAGAACCAAAACTCAATGATTTGATATTTCAATTTGCCCGAGTTTATATACCTCTGGAACAGCGGACCCCTTCTTTTAGCTTTGTGTGTCTTTGTGTGGGTCACGCAAAATCAGAATATATCACTAGCACGCGTCTTCATTTCGGGTCCTATACAGCATTCACTTCTTCCGTTAATTTCTCGGGCAAACTTTTTAGGATAAAAAGAAAGAGGAGGAGCAAAAGAATATCTTAGCGAATCATTAGCCTATTTAATGAAATTGTCCAATGATAAGTACGTGTTTAGATCGATCGGTGGTGGATCATCCCACTTAAAACAAATGCGAATTAATTATATTATTCTACATATGTAAGATTTCTGCGACTGCATTTTTTAACTGAGTTATTTGTAGAAAGTTTTTTAAACAGGCTTCCTTTTTTGGCTAGAATAAATTAACGCGTATCTGGATAAGTCAATTGATAATCATACATATTCATAAAATGCCGTTTAATAAATTGATGAATTTTCAAAAAAATGATTTTTTTGTAAAATATTTAGATTGTGCTCCAAAAAAATAATTTGTAAGTCTTCCTACATTAGAGTATGTATCTTCAGTACCTACAATCATTGAAATAAGCGCAGGATACATTTATAATATCTTATGACTCCAAAGTCCTGTCTCGCATGAATTTAAATGCAAATTCTGATCAATTTTGACCATTGGTGTCTTAAAATTTTTGGTACATTGTTTTTACACTTAAGGGAAACATAATTTCATGAAGGGCAAGGAAAACTTTTGCAGACAATAATACAAAAATAATCCAAATAATAGCATTTTTTCAACCCTTACAGCTACATTTCGGGAATGGTTGACACAGGATTTAAAACAGGTGTGTCCCCTCAAGCTGTGAGTAGTGTTTTTTCCTAGAAATTAACACTCATAAGTGCTTGATTTAAAATTGCCAAGTATTTAGCTTTGAACATAGTAACTTAATATTCGTTTAATTTAAAGAGAAATCCAATTATTTAAGTATCAGTCTTTTAAGTGGATGGCACATTTAGTACAAATGACTGACAAAAAATTTGTTAGAATTATTGTGTATGAAATGATTATCCGCTGTGACAGTATCAGTTCGATATCGGCGAGTCAAGTGTCATGTGAGCAGTGTTGAATGGTTGGGTAGTTAAAATTGTGCATGGGTTCATAAGTGTGAATTTATTTTAACAATAATGTCAAACTATTTGATACCTGAGATGAGCACGTATTAATATCAAATAAATATTTAATTCAATTCTTTTCATCTTCAGCAGAAACGAAAAACATTATTCTATCATTACTTGGTGAAAAATTCAACTTATTTTTCAATACCTCTTTTAAAATCAACCTCATATTTTGTAAACTTCATCGAATATTTTGAAGAAGCGTCAAATTTATCTGTTGAATCTAGTAGAAAACATAAAATTTCATTGCATTTAAAAAATATAATATTTAATAAAATCAAAAAAATTTATGAAATTCGTATACATTTTTTTATTGATATTTAAATTAACCTACTAAAAAAGTAATACATATTTTAATGATTCAAAGAAATAAATATGAAGATGCTGAAGACTCAATTATTTCGTTGGATCAGCTATAAATTTTTAGATTCAAGTAATTTTTTTTCCTTTGTGTAGAGGAAGTTATCATTAAAACTTTCTACTTAAAATTCGATCGCTTGACTCCCATAACTTTCAGTCTATTCAAAATCATAACCATCTATTTTATAAGAGTTTGTTTACCCAACTTTATCATAAAAGTATACACATGTGCTCAAAAATACCCCTTGTACTTAAAAGGAGCAAAAATAAAGTTTTGTATTATATTCTGATTGTCTCAGCATGAAAGTTTGAATATTTGAATCCTTTCGAGTTTTAATATCTCCTTCAATATAATAAATTGTAACGTGATTTTGATTCAATTTATGTAATAATGTACATATTCTACAAATATTACAACTTTAATTCAGAGATCTGTCCAAAAACATTATTTCAATTACGGTGCAGTGATATTCGAAAAAAAGGAAAATTATAAAATATTCGAACTCAGGGGGTTCAATATGTTTTTTGGTCACTTAATAAGTTTTTTCACATAAATTAATACCATAAAAAATGTCATGATTCAATTTTTCTTTAAATTTATATCAACTAATAGTTCCCACTAATACAGTAATATATTGCTTTTGGAAAAAGGGTAAAAATGATAAATAATATCAGAGTTTTAATTTGATGTTTTTTATTAACATGAAATGAATCGTAATGAAATGACTTATGAAAATCGCACATATGATATAATAAGATAATTCATTTAAATACTACTTATAACTATAACAAAAGCGATATTTTCTCGCTCAAATTTGGTGAAAAATTGTAGACTAATATTACAATGGATCTCCAAATTTACAATAGATAATTAAAATATTTTTTTAGTACACGCACTAGCCCTCAGCTCATTTCGTTTACAGTGTCAGTATAAAACTCGATGCGATGAATCAAACAGTTGTATTCACGCCTATTCAAATTGTTTGTAAATCATTCACTCGGTCAGTCACTTTGAACTTGATAAAACTTTGGTTAAAACACTTAACACAAGATCGGTAGTCTCTTGAGTAAAAAAAACTTGATAAAATCACAGAACAGTCACGTCACAGTCGTAGTCGCACGTCATTGTTGTCAAGTCGGGCAACATCAGACGAGATTTTCGTCGTGCTCGAGTAAAGTCGTATACTCAACAGCGGAAGGAAAATCATCAATGTGTTATGAATAAAATTGCCATCATGGCATTAAAGTATTTCTACTGTAGATGTGAACTTATTGAGCAGGTGCTTGTGCGGAGTAAGCGAGCTGTTGGGCATCCAAAGATCTCTGGTATCCAGCAGAGTATGCACCAGCTCCAGCCTGGGCATAGGTGGCTGGTTCGTAGTTGTATTGTTGGGCTACGTTGTTCTTGCCGAAGAGACCACCTGGGAATCCACCGGCGAGTTGGCTACCAGCACCGAAGAATTTTTGGAACAGAAGGACTCCAGCGATCAGAAGGGCGACTTTGCTGAAGAAGATGGCTTTGCCAACCAAGAGAGCTAATTTGCCGAGGACAATTGGAGCAAGAGCGAAGACTTTGACGCCGATGATGGACATCAGAGGAGATAACATTTTCTTGAGCTTTTTGCTTGGGACGATGTGTGAGTGCGATAAGACTGTAAAAAATTGCAAAAAATTAATGAATGAGAAAATTTTACTACAAAAAGTAGTGTTTCACTACAAAAATACAACGCAAAAAAAAATTAATGAAACTTACTGTCGAGAACGTTGAGGTGGCGAGCTTCTGACATATCGACGTTCAAACTGTGGCTTTGGAGGAAGTTGACGGCGTTATCGTACATCATGGTGGCGACAGCCATGGCTTTTTCGGTCGAATCGGCTGGCAATTCGGACATGATTTCAGATTCGGATTTCAATGCTTTTCCGGTGCGTTCGACTGAAACATAACGAGTTAATATTAAAAAATGTTGCACAATTGTAAAAATAATTTAAATAAATCGAGATCAACATTTTGAATGAAGAAAATTATTCAAAAATTTACCTGGGGTGTCTCTGACGAAGGTGACTCCATCGATGATGTTGATATCAGCTGACCTTGCAGCCCTCTCAAGGGTTGAGCTAGCCTTGACTGCTAAGCAAGTCAGCATATCAGCTGACTCGTTGCAGTCCAAGTCAGAGCTTGGAGCTGTTGCGATGGCCGAAGCCACAAAAAGAGCGAAAACTACGTATTTGAACATTTTTATTCTTCTTTGCTTTTTTTACACAGTGAAGCTGAGGTGCTGTGGTGTACTCAAACGAGAACTGAAACCGACTGTTTTGGGATTTCAATATGCCCAAGTATATATACTCTGGACCGGTGGATCCCTACTTCTAGCTCGGGTCATTGTGTGGGTCCCACTATGTACGCAGCATCTGAATATGTGACACACACACACACGTGCGTCTTTACTTTGAATGGTGTGGTAAGTACAGTATACATCGACAGTATACACATACTTCATTTGTCAATTTCACAGACGAGCTTCTCAAAAAAAAAAGAGTAAGGAGGGGCCAAAAAGTATCGCAGCGAATCATTAGCCTTTATCGAAATTGCAAATGATGAGTGTGGTGTGTGTAGATGAATGGGTGGTTGGCCACACCACTCGTATCACATGAGAATGAACTATATTATTTTACACATGTCAGATTTCGAATTAATAATTTTTAGAAAGTTCTTTTAACAGACTTCCGCTTACATTAACTACTGTGTGTGGTCGTTAGTACTGCAGTCGAATAAAATATGTATGCTAGTATGAAATCGCTGTATTTGCTTTTGTATTATTTAATTCACTTTTAGTCATATTCAATTTGAAGATGATACAAGTTCATAAGCACATGATAAAAATTCTAATCATTACTTTTGCAGCAAATAAATCGAATTTATCAGGGGAACGGTCATAGCACTTTCGAATTTTTCAGTTATTTTTTACTTTCAAAATATCATTAATTTGCATGTGAGCAGAAAGAATAACTGTTCATTTCTTCCTATTTTATTTCATCTTTTTGAGAAAAAAGGAGTACGATTGAATGATATATTTTTTTTTGTTCCCATTTTTTTATTTTTTATGTAGAGATACTTTAGTGTTCAAACGCGAACATTCTATAAGTTCAAGGAAAAATAGCAAATTTACCACTGACTTCGTTGTTATATTTTAATATTTATTTTTGTTTGACAGTTTCATAAAAAAATAAATTAAGAAAGAAAAACTTACTAAAAGAAAGATTACTCAAATCTAATTTATTCAATTAAATTAGGAGATACCAAAAATGAATTCAATATTTACAATCGAGAAGATGAATGTTTTTAAAAATAGTCGATAATAAATAGTCTGACATCTATGGACATGAAAAAAGTTCAATTCTATCTCTCAAAATTCGAATTTAATTCAACTTTCAATACTCTTTAATAACTTTTTAATAAAGGGATTTTTGATCGAGATAATTATTTTTAAAAAAATCTCATTAAAAGTCATACGAAAGTTTAGTCCTTATTATTCGTATGTTTAATACTGATCGGGTACATCATATAATCCTCTTGCGCAAAATCGGTACTTTCGGATTTCTTTCGGAGAGTTTATACCATAGTACGCACAAAATGGCAATTTTTATAATTCACGGAAAAATAATTTTTTTTTCATAAATACCATGAAAATAGGGTAAAATTATCATCACAGTAAAAAAATTTTATTGCTGTTAACAATTTTTTGATCTCTTTTAGTTAAATTGAATTTTCATCAGTGAAAATAATTTTTTTGATTTATGAGATTTTTTAAAATTTAAATAAAAAAAAAATTCAAGTAAATGAAAAGATTTCCGTTTTCATTTAAGAACTTGTAATCACCGAGATTTAAATTTTTTTATGAATTCCAAGCCAAATAGTGCAAAATAAAATCAAATTTTGTATTTCATAGTTAATTTTACATTTTTATCATTAATTCGATAATCATCTATGCAGCAATAGTATTTTTCGCAGGGGGTCATGAGGTAAGTGTAAAATTAACAGTCAGAATTTATGATTCAATGAAATTTTGGTTTTTTTTTTATTAAAAGTTAATGAAATGCAATTGTGAAAATGATAATAATGAATGATATGCATTAACAACATGATTCATATTACATACTAAAATAACTATAACAATTATGTGACGGTTCGATGAAATTCGCTCAACGTCACACGGTAAATTTACGTTTAAATATAATAATAACAGATTCTTTTGTACACGTACACACCTTTCCAGCTCAATTTGTAAACATTGTTCTCAGTGTATAACTCGATGCGATCAGAAGTGTGATTTCGTCGTAGTTATCGAAGTCAAAAATATATCATGTCAAATCGTCAAATGTAAGCGTTCGTCCGATATCTGCGATGCCTAAATCGTCACTCGATATTTATGAGCAGCATCGAATATTTGTAATTCGTCCTAATTTTAAAGCTGTCTTGCGGTCAGCTCGTCACAGTCAGTCGCGTGTCACTTTGTCAACAACAACAACAACAAAATATATATAAATAAAACTCTATACAATTCACTTTTTTGAAACGGTCACGTCACAGTCACAGTCAAAGTCGTCGTAGTCGTCGATCGTCGAGTCGGGGGTCGTCGTCTCGGCGCATCTCGAACATCCAAACACGCTCGAGTGCCGCCCAAGAATAAAGTCTTTCGTCCGATTAAATTAAAAGAAAAAAATCGCAATCATGGCACTAAGTTACAACTACTGCGGAGTCATATCTCTACTTAGTGAGCCTCGGCGGCTGGGGCCTGGGCGGCGTAAGCCAGCTGCTGGGCGTCCTTCTCGAACGAGCGTCTGTACTGATAACCCTGGCCCTGGGCTTGAGCGTAGGCTGCGGCGGGGTGCTCGTAGGCGATCGGGGCGGCGGCGTTGTTCTTGCCGAAGAGGCCGGCACCCGGGAATCCACCGGCGAGCTGGCTACCGGCGCCGAAGAACTTCTGGAAGGCCAAGACGCCGGCGATGAGGAGGGCGATCTTGCTGACGAAGACGGCTTTGCCGACCAAGAGGGCGAGTCCACCGAGGAAGACTGGGGCGAGGGCGAGGAGCTTGACACCGATCAGGGTGATCAAGGGCATGAGCATCTTCTTGTGCTTCTTGTGGGAGCCGCCGAGTCCGCCGTGTCCACCACCGAGGTGACCGCCGAGGTTGTGGCCTGGTTTGTGCGAGAAGACTGCAAAAAAAACGTCGATCGAATTAGATAAGTGTCAATTACAGCTGATTAGCAGATTATTTTACTCGATGAAAGAAAAAAAAGATGTCGAGTCAGAAAACTAGGCTAAGAGAGTCACTCTCGCAGCGAAAGTAAAGGAGTGACGTTACGATATTTATCACGAGTCTCATAATTACGTAAAATAGTTTCACGTCCCTCAGAGGCGATGAGTAGTCGCGCTTTGATCCATTCAATAATCGTATCGAGTGAAAGTTATTATCGAGGTACTTTAGCGGCGTTTAGCGAAGGATGAGATGATTTTGACCCGATTGAATGATTTTTTTTTTTTTTTTTAATCGGAAGTTGATGATAATTTGCAAAAGTACACTTACGCGAGGTTGGGTCCTTGAGGACGCGACCGACCACGGAGTCTTCGGACATATCGACCTTCAAGCTGTGGCTCTGGAGGAAGTTGGCGGCGTTATCGTACATCATGGTGGCGACAGCCATGGCTTTTTCGGTGGAGTCAGCTGGCAATTCGGACATGATTTCGGATTCGGATTTCAAGGCTTTTCCGGTGCGTTCGACTGAAACAAAAAACGAGTTAATTATTAAAAAAATGTTTTTAATTAATTTTTGCGAATCAAAGACTCACGATCAAGCTCAAAGCTTTGAGAGAAAAATAATTTGATGTTTACCTGGGGTGTCTCTGACGAAGGTGATTCCATCGACGAGGTTGACGTCGGCAGACCTGGCGGCCCTCTCGAGGGTAGCGGCGGCCTTGACGCCCAAGCACATGAGCATATCTTCCGCATGGTCGCAGTCCAGCTCGGAGCTGGGGGCTGGCGAGGCGATGGCCGAGGCCACCAATAAACCGAAAACGACGTACTTGAACATTTTGTGTTCCTGTTGAATTTTACACTATTTTTTTTTTTTTTTTTGTTACTCAGTGAAGCTGAGATGCTGTGGCGAACTCGAATGAGAACCGAAACTGTATGATTTGGATTACGATTCCGCCCGAGTATATATACCTCTGGACCAGAGGGGGATCCCTACTTCTCTCGGCTAGTCTTCGAATCGTTCGCGCGCGTCACACCTGTGTATGTGTTGTGTGTATATGTACGCAACATCTGTATATGTCACGCGCGCACGCGTGTCTTCACTTCGACGGCTCTTAGCATTAGTCCATCCATCGCATATACTTTCTTCGTTAATTTCTCAAACAAACGCCAGAGAAAGAAGGAGAGAAAGGAGGAATTTAGTTAAAAACTTGGCCAATGAAGATGCCTCGCCACCGGATGTAAAAAAATATATACATATCAATATCGACCCGCGTGCGCGTCTGCGGGTCAGAGACACCGGCGCGGCACCGGCGGCGGCTGGCCAATGAATTAATTACCCTACATTTTGTTTAACTTATGTTTTTTGTCTAATGCGCCGTTGATTTTTTTTTCTCGACGTATTTATCGACTAGAAAGTATTTTATTGTACGGAATTCCGTGAAAATGTTTAAAGGTTGATAAAAATAATTTTCCTGGGTGCGAACTTTTAATTAAGATAGGTTTTGTATCGTTTTTGTTTAATCGAGGAGAAAGTAATACATTGTAACGGGACAAAATTTAATTTTGATTTTATAGTCCTAAATGTATGTGATTTTTCGAATCAAGCTGGTTTTGCGCGTACGCGCGCGTTTCACCGCGCGACTTTTTCTATTCTTGAAATATAGTCACTTATGCTGTTTTAAATCCCCAGGCAGACCATGAATGTCCGAGGCAAAAAATATCATCTTCATTGTTCATTTCAAGCTTAAGTTATTTGCCCGTATGCCGCTGACCTACTGTCGAAGGAACAGCATAACAACAAATTTTATATTTTATTATATTTCATTTGAATGAGAAGACATCTGAACTATCATTTGAAAAATTTTAAAAGAAACTGCAATTTTTGTGTAGTAATTTATTTTGGTATTGTTGTACATTATTAAATGCAAATGAGAAATTTTGAAAAAATGTAAAATTTTTTACATAATTATGATTAGCATGTGCTTTGATTATTGATAACAAAAGTTGTTTATGAATTAAATGTACAATAAGTTTTCAGTTCGAGTTTTTAATTTCAAAAAAAAAATTCGAATAATTTGTTTACAGATTTTATTTAAAAATATTTCAATTTTCAATCTCAAATAAGAACATGAGAAATGTCAGTATTTGAAGGAAACTACATAGAAAGAAAAACTTGAAAATTTCCAAATTCTTTTTCAGCATTTGACTTTTAAACGCCAGGGGTGGTCAATACATTGACCTGTGACTTGCGGTACATAAATTAGTAGCTATACGATGTTTTTAGACCCGAATTTTGATAAAAATTTAAATTTAATTTAATAAAAATTAAAACATCCCTTCAAATGTCTTTAGAATCAAAGCTATATAGCAAACATTTTTTACGAACAGCAAACCAATGAAGATCTTTTCTATCATAGGATCAATACTTTGAATCAATTTTCGGTCTGCGTAATTTTCCAAAAAAAGTATTCAGCTAAGGCTAAGACCGAAATATCTATTCAACTCTTGCTCAAAAGAATTTGTAATTTACATCAATGCTGCTTCGAATTCGAGGATAATATAGATAGTTAAAAGGGAGCACTGATTACGTAAAAATCATTTCACTTTTTGGCTCAAACAAATAATTTATTCAAACTACAGGAAAACTCTTGTGTAATAACACATGTTTACTACTCTTGAATATATTAGAAATGTGATATAATTGAACTGACGTCAATATGTAAAAGATTACAATTAAATTAAGCCGCATCAGTGTGATATAATTTTTAGAGTGACGTCAAAAAGCGAAAGATTGAAATCATGAAAGTGTAAAAAAAAAAAATTAAATGGATTTAGGTTTGCATCACCTCTCAGTACGCACAATGGAAGAAAGTTCTTATTGATCGGAGAATTCGAACATCTCACGCATGATCGATATGAATGAACAATTAATTGGACGAACATTCTTCTGAGAGATAGTTTTTATTTCTTATACCTAGATTAATATAGTAATTTCGCAACATTTATGAGTCGTAGTTTGTCTTTAAGGATTTTAAACTGTTGGCATGATAAGTCAAACTAAACAAGGATTAAAGACAAGGTGGAAATAAAAGTCATTAGTAGTATATTTTTCACTCCCTAGGTGTAAATCCCATTTTTTGTGCTACCCAACCTGAAGTAACATTTTACTCCCGCTGCGCAAAACCAAAATGTTACTTTAGGCTGTGGGATTCATAAAAAATTGTAATTGCACCTATTTAGCGAAAAATGAAAGTCTCAGAGCACGTGATTATCAACCTCGGCTTCGCCTCGGATGGTAAACTGCACGTGCTCTGAGACTTTCCAGTTTTTCACTCCCTAGGTGCAAAATATACTATTTTTCGAGCTTTTTATTAAATAATTTCATCGATGATTATAAAAAGCTCTTCTGATAAAAAGTCCATTCAAATATTTCTACCTTTATTTTGACATTTTTTTAAATTTAATTGAAATATGTGAAGGTGTTATAATAAAAATAATAATAATAATAATGTAATATTAATGACATAAAAAATTTTTTTACACTTACAAGTTTTATTTATATATTTATATAAAGTTCAAAATTTTTTTAACCATAGTTTTACACGAATAATTTTATTGTAAAAATTTTTATTTTATTACTACTGTTATCTATTGCATAAATTTACTGTTCATTTATGCTATACGAGCATTAACGGTTTAGTGTAAAAATTTCGGCGAGACCTAGTACACATATCATTTTTGCATAAATTCCAAATTAAGCTCTTTTAATTCAAATTCTTCGAAATTGTATGGTTCCTTTCGATCGAAATTTGCTGTGATACTTGTTTTAGGTTCACCGTTACTAATTAATCATTAATTGAGATTTTAAAAAACAGACGATTTCTGGTTGATTAGAAGTGCGGTACTTGATAAATTTGCGAGTGTCACGAATATAGTTTGTAAAGAAGGCAAGCCAATTTTTTCCATACTTTCATATGATTTTTGTGCGTATTTTCATGAGTGATTATTAAATTTTTTTAACTAAATATAATAACTTCAATAAACTTATCAAAATAAAGATGCTTAAATTTATTTTAGTAAAAACTTTAAAATTTTTTTTGTAAGGAAAAATCATCTAATTTATCTACCGGGTTACAAACACTAAAAAAATTATAACAGGTCAACAGTTATGAAAATGCAATGCTTTGATTGTGTATTACTGCTTTAGCAAAGTTTAATAAATTTTATATTTTTATTTTATCATGTGAAGTGTGTAAAGGATGAAATAATTGTAGGTATATAATCAGCGTTACATGAAGCGGTAAAAATGAGTCGATGAATATTGATTTCAAAAATAAAAGTTGAATCAATATCTCTAGTATGCCAATAAAGAATCGTTTACAGATATCGATATAGTAAAAAAGTGTCTCCTTTTTTGCTCTATAGTATATAGTCCAAATAAAATTGATTTATTCTACCCTGATCAGTATTTTGAGAAATCATTTAGTTGTTTTTTTAATATTTCAGAATTTTCGCCTCAACATAAATAATTTATATTATCAGAAGGTACAATACAATATCACAAAATTGCTCTTCATATCGCGAGAGATGAATTCATACATGCATTGCTTTGGAATTACCTCTAAAATGTATATGGGTCAAAATAATACTTTTTTACAAAACCGTGCGCACGTATATCACCGATCTTGACGCGCTTTTGGTATGTTATAGTACATGGTAAAAAGGTCCCAAAAAAAAATTTTCAGACCCCCTCCCCCCTCCTACCCCCCACTTCCGGTATAAACGTCCATTTTCGATCTATATTTTTTCTGAGGACATGAAGCAA